AAATATCAACCTCCTATGGAGGGGTAAATTTAAGAAAGCGATATGAGGGAACAGATTGATGGTTTAGGGGGATAAATGGATGGATGGATAGATAAGGGATGGGTGCAATTCTGGATATTAAATCAAGTTTTCCCTTAATCGTTGACGTCATTTTCGTCTTACTTTGCCTTTCTTGCTTAATTTTTTTCCGGAAATCACATTCTAATATTTGCAGAAATTATTTTTTCCCATTCAATTTTGACCAACAACTTTTCATCTCATTCTTACCTTCCTTGCTACCCATAAATCTCAATTTCCCGCTTCCTTTCATGACAATTTTCCCTTTTAATTAATTTTTCTCATTACTTTCCTCCCAAATCCGTAAATTGAAACAGACAATTAAATGCTAATTCTGGCCATGCTGCTTTCATCTGCCCCTAACACGCGGAAAAAGCAGCGGCACACAGCTGCGTCGGCTTTGAAAACCCCAACCGCCGCCGCCGCCGCCGCTGCCGCTGCCGTTCCCGACCCTCTTGCCATGGACGAAAAGCAAACAACAAACAATGAAAATGAAGACGAAGAAATTGAGGTTTGGGGTGGAGGGGTGGCAGGGGAAATGAGAGTGGACGAGGGTACACCAGTGCCGCCTCTTCATTTCAATTATCCTCTCTCTCTCTCTTTTTACCTAGTGAATAGAAGTGACCACCACCAGAGGCTCTTCAAGAAGCGGTCTACAGCTTCGAGGGCGGTATGTGAAAATGCCATACAAATGCTCTTGTGCAGCCCTCTAATTACCAACCGATTGTCGGCAATTAGATTGGTGGGTCTGTAAGAGAGGAAACGGGCAGGATTTTGTGAAAAGTCGCTTTAACCAATAGTTAAGTACTCTTGCCTCCCTAAAATCGGTCCTTCCCTTTCTCTCTCACACTGTTCCTTTATCTTTATCAACACTGACTACGATCCACGTTGAGTTGTTACTATCGCCTCATTAAATATGGATTATGAGTTGGGAGGGTAAAGTACGCATATTAAAAGGACGCTCCTTAATTCTACCGAGCCTCTGTAAAGGTACACCCTCGTTAATCCAAAAGTACTTCTTCTAATTTTCTACCATAATCTCCTCTGCTTTTCTTCTAACTTAAGCCAATGTCATCCGATGACTTCCAAATATCGGCAGACTAATGAGGATAGGCTATTCCCTAGTCGTGTGTATGAGACCATAGACCAGGCGTCAGAGGTTGGACAGACCTTCCAGGATTGTCACAATTGAGAACACTAGGGAGGTGATCTTCACATAGTGGAGAGTGGGTAGGTGATTGCCTCTATGCAGTAGTTGATAGCGACTTGACAAAAGGGCGGAACTACCTTGTTCTGGGAGATCATGCTTCCCTCCTTCATCGCTTCAATTCGCCTGGGGAGATAATGCACCCATGTCTTATAGTACTCACCCAAAAGTGCACCTCCTGGGTTTCAAAAGGATCCCATCTTCTAAAGAGATCTTTCTAAGGAGCTCTGCACGGGAGTACAATTGATGATTCTCTCCTAACGGCAACCCTACCTACTCCCCTTCCCATTGCACTTCTGTTTTTCTAACAGCCTAATCTATTGCGTAAGTAAAGGTGATGTTCTCTTGCGAGGGAAAGTATATAGTGACTTTGAGCCTAGATGTTGTCCCACCCCGTGTAACTGAACACCTCTTTCCCACCCCTTGGGCTTTAGTAAGGAATGCATGTTGAAAAATCGCCTCTACCATTTGCCACCAGCACGGTGACAAAGAGGGATACAGTGGTGGACAATCTTCGAGGCTTGTTGTCATCTGTTAGTGTACGACACCTAGTTGGAAAGTATTTGCTCTGTAACTCCCACGACCCCTTCACTCGATGGAGGTGTAGATGGGTTGTTCGTTGCTTACTTCTTTGTCCTGGCATGTGGCTCTTCGAATGAGGTACTGGATTCAACACGTTTGACAACAAAGTTTCCGTGGCTTTAGCAACTACTTGAACCAAGTACCGAGCCTGAGTCACATCTACCAACTCATCCTAGATACTACGTCAAAGTGTCATAGAAGGCAGGCAAATGGTTGATTCCATGTACCCAAAGAAGGAGCTATCGAAGGTGGGGACTCTAGAGACCGCCACCTGACTTCCATGAGCTGCATCGCGAACAGTAAAGAGATGAGGTCTAAAACAAATTACCGATGTTACCTCCCGAGGTTGCATAAGTCGAGCCTAATGCAGGTGCAGGCCCGAACAGTCTTGGAGTGGACAAAAATACACGGAAAAGATAAGAGAAAAAACGAGGAACTATCTCATACTAGGCAAATCATCATACACTTTTCCTCCCGGGCAAACTAGGAATGCTCTCTCCAAGGGAAATCACCCAACATTTGACATGCCTTCCACATCCCTCCTGTTTGCTAGAGGTAGAGATACTTGGCGAAGGACAGGCACAGGTTCACGAAGGAAAGGCTTATGTGGTAGTGAAAAAAGAATTGCAAAACTCAAGAGGCCAGGAACGACCCCCCTCCCTCCTGCCGACTGGCCAGTTGGTTACGCAAGCCATTTCAATCAACCGTGAAATGACCTCGCTCATGCCACTCCCCTTCTACCAATAGCCAACAAATAAAAGACCACCTTTGATTAGGAATAATAAAAAGCTCATTTTCAATAGCCTTCGCAAAATTTGGAGAGGGCAAGGGGAGGTAATGAGGATCAAAGAATTATTATTACACGGATGACTGAATAAAGAAGGGAAGCGGAGAGCAGAGACTACTGGTAATTCGGTAGGAAGGAGGAGTGGTGGAAGTGAGTTGGGTACCCTGTTTGCCATGCCAACGTCGACGACCACACAAACGGCGACGTCAACGTCTACTGCTCCACACGCTCCACCTTGGCGACTACTTTACCCTCCCATAGGGGCAGAACAGCGTCATCGTTGGAGATCTCTTGATGCACCACACCCGAGTCAAACTCGTCGGAAGTGGTCTTGAAAAAGAATCTGCGTGAAGGAAAAAAAGGAAAGAAATGATGAAATGACCGGGGGAAAGGTGAGAACAACGCTCGTGTTGACAAGAAACGCCACAAGCACATGAGGTTCCGTACAGGCACTGCCTAAAAATTGTAGCCAGTAGTGCCTGGAATGCACTGATTCACGAGATCTGTGACGGCTATTGGTGGCTCACCTTCTTCAACCTTGCAAAGTCCCCGTTTGACTTGGACGACCCTAGCAGCGGCAGCAGCAAGACTTGCCATGATACGACACCGCGCCGCACCGCACCAACGCGGTAAAATGTCACCTCACCGAAACAGAAATTGCCAGTCATCACGGGTCGGTGCGTGCGTGCCCCTCCCCTGGAAATGCAATCTACTACTGTCACAGAGGCAGGGCGGATGGAGTAAGGTGAGGCGAGCGGACGGGAAAGGAGGGCGATTTCGTGTCTGCGTTTTTGTGAGTAACGTCAAGCTGCTGTCACGTTTACTCTTCCTATCGTTCTCGCTTTCGCTGCTTCACTCCTTGCGTTTGTTTACCTGTCTGTCTACCTCTCGCTTTCTCTCTCTCTCTCTAACTTTTTTGTCTCCAGAAATGTCAACGCTTTTGTGGGCGAAAAAGAGGAAAAAGAAATACGCACGTCAGTGGGTACAAAGTACTTCGATTGGAATGGAGGAAGGGTTAGGTAAGTTCTTTAAGGACGAGAATGAGGAGCGCCTCCATGTGGACAACCTTTGATGCATCACTTTATCTATCTAGCTACTCATCCTGAACTCACACTTCATTTTTCCAACTGTCCCATTCCATCCGAAATCTAGCATTCATCGCTAAGTGTATCCTCCACTCATTCTTTTCCATCATTATACGTTCATGTAGTTCCATCCGATCTATCCATTCTGCATGTGGAACGACGGACCACCTTTGGCTCGGACCTCCGTTCTTTAACCTTAGGATGCAGCATTACGCATCTGGACACCAAGAAGGCAAGCCTCTTGGTCCAGTCGATTTTTGTTCGAACGGTCTGACGGTATCCTCGAAGCAGTTTTAAGGGTTAAACTTGTGGCTCACGGACTCGTCCTCCAGAATGGAGACACCCTTTCAGAGACGGTGACCAGATAAACCATTGCTCCCCTGGCATAGTAAAGTAAGGGTTAAGCAGGTCTCACAGCCTTAATTAAGGGGAAATCGGACATTCTCTATTGAATAAACAAATAGCGTTTTTGCCCTCACTTACAAAAGCACGCAGTTCATTTCCTTTCCTCCTCCCCTCTTCCCCTACTTCTGTCCTGTCGGAAGAGTCGGTGCGTTGTCATACGTGTGTCGGTGTGTGTGTGGATGGTGGTCTGAAATTCGCCGCTACCGCTGCCACTGCCGCCAAAGCCGGTGGCTGTCATCGTAGATTGCACACGTCCGACTACTTATGTTGACCACCCACTCCTGCTGCCCCTTCCCCCTCTACTCAAGAGGGTAGACTTTGGTTCACGAGATTTGAGAGGGGCTTTGAATTGCCTGAGGACCAGTAATAACATCACCAATACCTTAATGTTAGCAGCAGAGCTTTCAGACAGCATTTTTCGTGCCAACATTCTAACAGGCGACTCTTTCGACAGCAGTAAACTCCGGTACTCGTCTGCCCCTTTCTCTGCCAGAAATAGATGGTACAAATATCAGTCCCATGTAGTTCTTTTTCCCCCCCGAAAGTGATCCCGTTAGGAGGACTCGAATTTGGTGAGGGCGCAGCAGGAGCGGCGGCAATCACATCGCTGTCAGTCCTTCTCTCTCTCTCTCTCATACACACACCGCCACCACCGCTACTACCACTGCCGCCATTTTCACGAGTCGGCGAATTGACACAAACACCGACGAGGTTAGCAACGATGATGCTGCTGCTGCCGCGGCTCCTGTCATCGTTTGTATCTCCTCGCTTGGTGAATGAGTGTTTTGACAGCCGAGACTGTTGTCAAGTTTAAAAATTGGAGAATGGGTGGAGAGACGGGAGTTAGTGGTGGTGGAGGGAGGGAAATCATGACCATAAACTCCTGCTTTGGAATCCATATTCCGCTTTACTTCGCTCCCCTGCCTGCCTAACTGCAGTGAAAACGTGTAACAATGACGGCCGCACAGCAAAGAGAGTGACTACGGATAGGCGAAACTGATTAACTAATTTTTCCCGAGTATGCTGTTTCACCAACCTTTTCAATGCATTGTCACCGAACTAACGTGCTGGTGACTTGGCATGTAGGGTAGTGGTCTTCGGGCTCTTCAGGGGTAATACCAATACTACACCAGTGACCAACCGGTGGAATATGCCCAAAATCCCAATAGACCTATCAAAAGACGTCGGGGGAGGTGAAAGCCTCCAATCTCATGGCTGAATATGCAGAGGATCGCGGGTGAAAGAATTGGGAAGTTTGACAACTGAGTGAGGATGAATCCCCTACGTAGCTAGCTAATGCAGTAGCAGCACTGAGAGTGCGCTTGCTAGTAGAACATGTTGTCTGTCCAGCTTTAAGCAATTCCGCTGCAATGTCCAAGCAGAACGTGACAGTTGGACCGGCAGAAATATTTTAGAGGCACAAATATAGCTGAACTCAAATACTTTTGAATCCAGGATGCGGTGGTTGCTCCTCTCTCCCTAAAAGAAGACGATGAACTTGTGTTACGCAGAAAAAGTTGCTGGCAATTAAATTATTCTTTGGGCCTCCACAGGGACGGGATGGGACTACGTTCAGATCACTTAAACGCTACTTTTTTATTCAACCTTTTAGGGCGCTAAATGATGAGTTTGCATATTGCATTTCCTCAGAAATAACTGGAGGACTACATTAATTTCCAACCAGAAATGCCTTATTTCACCTCCTCTATGACCTCTCTTATTTTTCCAACTCTCATTGGTTCCCCACACAATTCCAGCCAATCAATACGACGGGGTGAAAATCGATGGATATCCGTGTAACCAATCAGTGAAAAGATGGCTTTTATGAGGATATCTCAACGGCACCGCTTAGTCACGCAATGTTTTTCTACAGAGAGTTTGATTGACATCACAGGGACACCTTTGTTGCAGGAAGAAGCATATTCTTGTCACTGCCAGATGTGTCGTGACGACCGTCCCTTTCTTGGGTCAATGTATTCTACCTTGACGAGGTGTGACACCTCTCATTCAATACATCCAATATTCATCGATGTTTCATCACTGGAATTTGGTCAATCCACCTGCTTTTCGAGAACTGGAAGCATCTCCCTCCTCTCGTTTGCTTTGTCCTGAAGTCAACCAATCCGGTTGCCATAGAAGATTTGACTCAACCACCTTCAATGTGGCTCCTTTGTTTCCGCACACAATGCGATGGAATGACACTTGGCTTTCTTCCCATTCCCAAACTGTCACGGCTTCATTGCCAGCCTTGCCTTGCTTCTTCCAATCTCCAGTTACAATTCACTTGGGTGCTTTTTTCACATCCTCAAAAATAATATCTGCCTCATCAAGGTGTCAAGGGGGAAGAAAATCAATCATCGTAGACGATAACAGGCTTTGACAGCACTCTAAATTGTCAATTGTTAGTCATCAAAGGAAAAAAAAAGACATTTCCTAGACATCCTTCGACTACTTATTTAACTTGGTAACACTGATACGCCCATTCGCACTCTCTTTTTCCCCTCAGCCGGCAGAAGCACTCACAACAGTTGTTCTCCACTTTTCTGCTGCTACGGCTGCTCCTCTCCTTCAGCCAGAAGGGGGATGTTTGGGGGAGGGAGGAAGTTGAACGTCAATTAAACGTGACTTTTGTGTTACTGTCTTCCTCCTTCTTCAAAATTTCAATTATTATTTCCCTCTACCTCAGTGAATAAAAAAAGGCAGACCACCAATTCAGGCCACACGATAAAATAAACAAAAGGAGGTGAATGAACACGCAAATAACAAAAGCAACCTCTTCTCTCCCTCCTCTCCCCCACTCTCCCTCCGATGAACCAACATTCCTCCTTTGTTAAGGGGAGGGGAAAAACAATGACACATCAATCTTGGGAAGAGGAGGAGTATTACATCCCTCTCTCACGAAAAAAAATCACGACAGCATAACTCATTTGTCTCCTCCATCTTGTGAGTCTAAAGTTCAGAGTCGAGACACAAGTAGACAGACTGCCGAATGGACTTTGAACGGCGGGGAATGCAAGGACTAGTAACTCACCGAAAAAGACCCTTCTTGGGCACGAGGTGTTTGAATTGTCCCAGAGTGATAACGTTTGACGGCCACTGACTGCGATAGGGAACTGGATCGTCGCAGAGGTAGTAGCCGACAACCAATCCACCACTGCCACTGCTACCTCCACTTCCAACACTGCCACCACCACCAGTAGTTGAAGGTGCTGTTGGCGATGCGGTACACCTAAAAGAGGAATGAAAAAAGGTTGATTTAGATAGCAGAAATCTTCCTGAGTGATACCACCCTTGAAACGACCTCCACCATGGCGGCATAGAGTCGACGATCCACCGCCACCGAGCCTGCGGGTTAATAAGCTGGAAAGATATCATTTTCCTCTTGTATCTACTTCCTGATTTTTAGCCCGACCAACCAATTGGTTTACATAATTCGATTCGACGCGAACATCTCTATTAAACCAATGAGTAGCACGTGTCACATATATGTGACGTGCGAGTTGGAGTGGCAAAAATGAAGAGTCATATTATACGTGACACGGATTAAGTATGTACTCCATCAAAATACGACAGTCAAGGGGAAATGAGATAAGTTCCCAAATTTCAGCTAAAGAAACATCAAATCCGCATTTCTGATAGGCACACACCAAGGCAACACTTTTCTGATTCGATGCCCTTCCCCAACGATTTGAGGAGAAATAAGAAGATAATAACTTTTATGATGCTGGGTGGTCTACGATAAAATCATGTCCGTTTTCCCTCCCGTCAATCATGCCAGTCAATATCCCTCCTCCTCAGGTTAGACTGTCCCACAGAAGGTAAGGAAAAACAAAACCACCGGCTAGGTAAGGCCAAAGCGAATCTTACTTTTTCTTTTTGGGGAAGAAGAATACGCTTCATGCGTGAGGAGATGGCTTTACATCATCTTTTTTAATCATTCCTTATTTCCTAGGCAAGTAAATCATCCAAAACCTCTCTAGAGCTTCAAAGGAAATGCAAAGTTCCTGCCCCCTTCCCCTCACCCCTCCCACAAAGGCTAGTAGCCTACGAGCAACTCTTGGTACCACAAAATTGCGGCAGAAGTAGCCTCCACAAAAGGACTGGACTATTGGATAGAGGAATTGAGAGCCGGGAGGTGGAAGTAAAACACCTTTCTTCTTCTTCTTGCACCACTTCTTACATCTCTCTACTTCAATTTTAACCCCAGCCGGTTGCTTTAGCGGTAACAAAGAGAAAAAGGGGCAACATTAGAAGGAGACCAGCGTCGGTCGGTGCCGCTTTTTCCCCTTTTCTTCTCTGCACAGACAAACAGGAAGACGAATAAAGGGACAAGCCTAATTACTTATTCCCTAGCGTCGCCTCCCCTCAACACTGAGCGGAACGGGTGTACTCACCGTGCTTGCAGTCGCATCGTGTTTACATCAACCAGTTGGCTCTCATTAACCTGTTGGTGGAAGTCGAATCGTGTGGAAGAGTTGGTGGTCGTGGTTGTGGTGGCACTGGGTGGAGAGGAGGACTCCTGAAGCAGTGGAGGGTGGATACAATCATCCTCAACCTCTTCTTCCTCTCCTCCTCCTCCTGTTGTCGCTTGCCTTGAGGTCTCCACAATCTTTCCAGATGACTTTCCGACAGCATCTAAACGAGGTCGTAAGGCGGATGCACCATGCCCATCACCTCCACTGCCACTACTACTTGTTGGTGTCCGATCGGCTGATGTGTCCCAGATGCGAGAACAGTGATCCTCAAGAATAGCCTGGATGAAAAAGAAAAGGAAGACTCATTTGAGAAACGTGAACGTCGTACCGAGAGCCTGATTGTGCAGGTAGATCATAACCAAGAAGAATTCTTCCGGAACCAATCACCTGCACCTCTTGCGGTGTGGAAGATCCCACCGCAAAAAACAGTAACGTCGGGTCTGCTCTATCCTCCTCTAGCAAGCCTTGAAGAGGCAAAATTCAACTCCTCCACTTATCGCATTAGCCAATTCATCGGGCGGGAATGATTCACCACCATCCACCCTTTAACATCGCAAGGCACAGCACAGGGTGACCTCAATTCTGACCAAGCGGGAGGATGCGGAGGAGGCCAACGACGAAGACCAAGAAGCGGCAGATTCGTCAGTAGACGAAACTTCAATCATGCTCACCCTAACACACCCACACACTAGTGTGTGTGCATGTGAAAAGCCTTTTTTTACGTGAGAACGCCAGAAGGCATTAATCACACCCATCTCATCGTCGCCTGCGTGGGAACGTTGACACGACGACGTCCGAACTCCTAGAAAACGCGTTTACGCACGCGAATACTCCACAGGGCAGGATAGCTCCGCAGTTTATTTGGTACTTCAGATGCAGTTATAAGTAGGAAAAAAATTCTTCTTGGTTGTTTTGCCCTCCTAGTTTAACTGCTTCCCTTTTACATTCGGCTGACCTACGGAGGTAGGTAAGAGAAAATCGAAGCGTCACATATATGTGACGCCAATAGTGAAAGTATCAGTGTTGGCTTAAACTGATCAGACAAGCTGGCTTGTCTATGATAACTTATTGGCTGACAGCTGAACCGCTTTACTGCCGTTAATCAACCCTCAAATATCCTCCACTCACTGAGTGATTATGTGAGTCCACCCCCTTACTCTGGTTGTACACAAGGTGTTGGAATTAGAACACTAATTGATGAGAAAGTCTCCTCCGGTCTGCCTTCCACCGATATTATAGGCCATAGCAATAAGATAGAATAGTGTGCAGATGCCTAAGTCGACCTTTTCAGTCTCCACGACGTCGGCGTATTCACGACAAAGCCACTTCCAGGCCCGTCATTTCTTGCACAACCTCCAGAGAGATGACTCAGGCGATACACTGGTTTAGACGTCTGCATTTCGAGCCTTTCTTAGGAGAGTGCGTACAGCTGTGGCTTGGTTTTACACGCACGCACACACGCACAAATAAGTGAGGTCACCCCGTCTGTCTGCCTTGTTTTTGGACCACGCAGTTCCGCCATTTTGCTCAAAAAATTGCTCCTTCCTTTAGTCAAAAAACCCCGGAAAAGTTGTACAAATAAAAGGTACAATCACTGCATAAGCATGTACGTGGGCAATTCGTTCTTCCAATGAGATTGGGGTGAAGGGAAAAGGAAACTTACATCCTAGGGATGATTAAATGATTCCTTCTGTTCTCGCCATCAATTACTACCACCTTTTGCTTGCAAAGCAAAGGCAATCATTTTTTACCGAAACTGCTGAAAGGAAAGGAGCAGTTTTCCTACCAATCGCTATCTGACCAGTACTGAGTGCCTTTCAGACAAGCGGAACTGTCAGTGCTGTCTGGAGGCGCCACAACACCAACCTGAGCATTATCGCCTTGTTGTGCATGCTGAACCCTTGCAGCAGCCAGTAGACGATCGGCCCATGGTCGCTGAAGAACCGAAGGCTTCGTTGATACTGTTGCTGTTGTGGTAGTCGTTGTTGTTGTTGTCGATGTCGACGCAACACTGAGATTAGCCATTGCCTTGGAGATGCTGCATTCTTCACTCTCCGCGGTGGTCAGCAGCGGCTGCGGTTGCTGCGTCTTCGAAGCTGAAGCTATCTCTGTCTCTGTCTTTGGCTCAACCTTCACAGCTTCCGTGGTCTTCGTAGAGGCCTCCTTCTCTTGACCCGTGTCCGGAATCTCTGTGGTTTCTTCTCCTTCCTCGTCATTTCCGACCTGGTGAAGAAAAGAATGAAGATCAGCTACTGTCTGGGTCATAGTCTTGTCCGTGAAACCTTAAAATGCATGTGGAGGCGCATTTATCAACGAACCGACAAGTCGGATCCATACTTAAAAATCCACATCAAAATTTAGAGGATACACACCTGAAAGTGATCACATCCACTGCCTCTCATGAGTGCTCCTTCCTACCCACTGACACAATACCTGTCTGAGAATGGGAAGCAGTAGCAGGAGGAGAGGAAGAGAAGAGACAAGGAAGTAGCTCCTCCCTCACCACCCCCCCCTTCATCAACTCCGCCCCATCCCATGTTCTCGCTGCCTGGTGTGTATGGACCAATCGCCTTTCTGGCCTGTCATGCAATCTGAGCAGGCCTGGGCCGATCAAGATGAGGGAGAGAGGGGGGAGGAGGTGTAATGCGAGAATGAAGGTTGGCTGTATCCCCCTTCCCGTTCTCGCCTCCTGTCGGGTAAAGCTATAACGGTCACTCGAATGTCATCCGACCAACGTGAGGCTGTCAAAGCACCACCACCACTTCAGGCTCTCTCCTAGCCCCACCCCAACCGTCAAACGGAGAAGAGGATAACAACAAGGGAGATTTTGATGTGTGAAATGCGACCATTGACTAAGGAGCAGACCCCTCTGATGTTTAGGCTGTACTGAGGTAACAATATGATCTACTTTTTTGGTCACCAAATGAGGTGAATACCATCTACCTAATAAGTGGAGCCTTCTCGGCCTCTTTCTTAGCATCTCAGGGCCGAAGATAAAGCTGTTTCCAAAGGCCTAGAGAATTTTCCATGACAGCTTTGACTAATCACTTCAATGAGACCTATAGCAAAGAAATACTGACGGTTGACAATCCCTCCAACCTAGATTTCCGCCTTGCCGGCACAATGACGTACGATCAGGGCGGGGGAAACAATACTCCCTCTTTTCATTGTCCAGTCTCCTCAATAGAGCAAGCTTGATAGAGGGGGCAGTGTTTATGGGTTCCCTCCAAATGCTCCACCAGTCGTTTGACCCTCATGCCCTTCTGCTGAATGAATACAATCCACTCGAAGAGCTGTTCCGACCGAAGCAGAAGAGTGACAATGAGGAGCACCAAAAACGAGGGACTGTAAGACGATAATAAGGCAACCTCTTGACTCGTAATTCTGTACCCACTGAGGCCGCTTCCGGTTCATCGGTATTCGGCACCCCACATAAACACTTGTTGGCGGTTCACTGACCTGTAGGTTTATTTGTCGAATGCGCTACGGTCGTTGAGGTGCTTCACGAGGTACCGTAGTCCTAACCGGTTAAAATAGGCGGCAGTATCCTTTAACCAAAGGATTCATCGAACGTCACCCACTTGGGGGCACGCCACTGCAGATTCACGGAGGGCATGAGGGCAAATCCCAAGTGCTACTTGCAGCAGGAGAGGCCTGAAGGGACAGCGCATGACAGGCCATGGTGCGTTTCGAATGCCAAAAATAGGTATTCTGTTTCGCACGCACACTGAGAGAGAGAGAGAGAGAGGCAAAACGGAGCTGCAACTCCCCCTCTTTCACTCCCTTTCACTCTCGGTGTTTCGCTTGTGCTAACTGTCAGGAGAACCGACCAACCAACCAACCAACCAACGGCAGACTATCGACTGGAGATGCACACACGTGGTGTTACTATGACTAATTACGAAGCAAGTCAAATTGGGAAATGAACGCGCAAAGGTTGAACGGTCAGGACTGGATTATTAAGCATAAAGCATTTTGGGGGGCTACGGAGGATAAGGACAGTGAGCGCCGCTGGTATACGTTAACCTCGATGATGAAGTGAGAAGTTCCTCATCCCCTCTAAGTCCGGGTCACTCCCAACTGAGCTAATCAGGCGTCAAATGATTGACAGGTGGGAGAAGAAAGTCCATAAAGCTGTCAGCTGACTGATTTGACGCATCTACAAATCAAAAACTGATGACATATCATGGCACGGAGCAACAAGAAGTCATCGCCTTATCTGCCGAGTAACTCGGTTTGACTACCTACCTCAACCACAGGCTCCGCAGGATGCACATCTAAGGGAGTATGCGCGTCCCCCAGAAGAGGCTGTCAACCTGATAGACGGTTTAGGCAGCATTCAAATGGCAAAAAAGTTGGAAGGAAGGAAAGGAATCCCATACTACCCAAAATATCGGCTACAAGAGACTGCCATGCTAAATATGCTCCTTGCAGAATGCCACCGCCTGACCTGACACCTGTCAAATGCAGTTTGGCGAAGAAAAGAATTGACCCCTGAGCGTCCTGTCTACATTCACGATGCAAAAGTAGCTGCAATGAGACTAAAAGAATGCTGCTTTTAGAGCAATCAACACATTTGACACCAGCGTCACATATGTGTGACGTGTGGTGGTTACCACTTTAGGGCAGCTGGTTACAGCGAATCGGGTGTAGTAAATAAAAACTAAAATAGCTAAGTGAATAAGCTTGCGGCTCAAGGTTAATTACAGGTTTTTCGGGTTTCGGAGAACATTTATACATAGAAAGTGCCTTTTGTGGGTAGCCACGGTGGCTGACCTTCCCACTTTTTGAGCCCACAAAATCAAAAACCATCGGAGAGCATGAACTAGATTATCCTCAAGACAGCCTAAATCCTGCTACGAATAGAGTAATAGTAAGGTTGGAAGATCATTTGGAATGACAACGACAGTGAAGAGCGATTCGACAGCTCAAGGTAGGGTCCGACTCGAAGACGGATCGTGATTCAGCGTGTCTTCTTTCAATTAGGCAAGCAATTTATTCGCTTCCAGAGAAGAAATTGTAGCATCACAAGCGGAGGTAGCAAGCAGACCCTAATTATGAGGATTAAACGGCATTTTGGGGGTAAATAAGGGGAAGGAAACACACCCTGTCGTGGTTGAACTGTTCTCGTCCCATCTTGCCACGTCTACTAGCGCAAGTCACCACGTAGCATCCGATCGCAACGACAAATGGCGGACATGGCAAATGTGCTCAGTCCTCTTCTTTCAAACAAAGAGGTGCGCCCACACCACCTTGCTCTCTCTACCCTGCACGCGCACAGCAGATGTCAATCAACCCCTCGGACCAATGACTAAGAGACGGAATAACCCAGACGCCGATGACAGGCGAGGACTAACAACCATGCCTTTCCTGACAAGAGGTCTCACCATCATGTCTCGCTGCGCCCTCCGCCCCTTCCACGTAGGTAGTTACTGATTTTAATCATTAATTGTGCCCTGATTGGGCGATTTGGTTGGCGTGTAGAACCAATCAGAAGTGGATGATCGAAACGCAACCACCAATCGGAGACTGAGACGGTTAAACGGGGATGTCCTTGTGACTTTCGATGGTTCCTCAAATTTTGAAAGATTTTTAATGAAGCCTCTGTATTAACTATTACACAGAACTTTTTAGTCTGCTGGGAGTTGGCCACCCCTGCCACTAGCTATCCAGGCCTTCTCTATCACGACTCCATGGATAACTCAAGTGGGTGCGATAAGCGGCCCCACTCCGCAATGATAATAACAATGTCGACTCTGCTTGCTGGGTACTATGCCAAGTGGGTAGAGAGAGACGGATGATTCTATGGGGACTCACGCTAGAAGGCCTATCAAAACCATGCCAAACTTCGGCAAAAACCCAAGTCCTGCCCCCGCCATAGTAAACATCATTTAAACGTCCCAAAGACTTGAAATAATCAGTTTTTTTCAATGGAGGTATTGAATTATGATGTCTTTGAAGAGTAGATGAGTTGGTAATAACCCTGTAAAATGCAGCTGGTGAGTAGCATTGAAAAGCCAAATTGTATTACAACTAATAAAACTTACCTCCGACATAAGCCGTTCAAGTCTTTCCATAGCAGCTCTGTCTTCCACTACGCGTTGAAGGCGTTCATTGAGGAGTCGAGCAAAGCCCGAGGGATCCAACTCGGCCATATTCTGGTCCCTCAACGTCGCCGTCTTACTGGTGGCAGCGGCACCAGCAGCAGCAGTCGAAGCACCGTTTGCAGCAGCTCTCCGCGAAGAACTGACGCCCCTTTTGTGCTTATGACCCAATGCACTGCCGCCACCACCACCGCCGCCGGAAGTAATGACGGCGGCTGGAGTGGTAGTCGTGGATGTCCCAAAGACGGGGTAATTAGTAGATATTCGAGTTGTGTGACGGATAGATGAGAGATGCATTCGGGCGCGTGCTTCATCACTTTAAAAAGAGGAAAAGTTGGCGTCTCTTAGGCGGTTACCGACCCATGAAAGTGCGCAAAATGTAGCAAATTTTCCTCAGGGTCTACTCGACTTATCTTACCAGTCTGATTTAATTCCCACAAAGCAGCTTCGCTAAGGGATGACTTGCCGATATGACTGGACCCTCGCAACCTGGGACACCTTACTCCACCTTCGCATCTATGTCGGGCAAAAGCACGCACTTTTTTTCTACGTCCTCTGCGTGCATCGACTTCTTTCAATTGCAAGTTTTTATGCTCACTACCATGTGGTATTGGGGCGTCCAATCCCCGGGATTGGGGAGGTCTTCCACGCACTGCCTCAGTGTTCATAGCCTATGGAATGGGAGCGCTGAGAAGGCTAGGAACGAAATCGCCGTGGTGGAGAGCGTCAGCAAAGCTCAAACATGTGCCTATCCGGTGTTTGGAGTGCTGGGACTACTCAGCTTAGATGTCACGCCGTTTAGCAACTGAGCTTGCCTGTCACTGCATATTGACTAGGTACGTCGGAAACAGACTGGTCGGCGGGGCATGAGCTGGCTGTTAGTGCGCATGATAGGACAGGATCGTCACTTGTTACCGCCCTTACTTCCACGATGTGTCATTCAACATCAACTTGAGCGTGATTATAGTTTATTTTAGCGCTTTAATTTTTTTTTCAACTGCATCCCCGGCACTTTTTGATCGTGGAGTGCACGTCCGCACGTATGCAAACGCGGTGAGGTGACGAATAACGCAGGTGAGGAGGCAAGCGCGATGACACGAACGCATACGCACAAAGCGTCGTCTAACGCTGTAAACAGACGCGAGAATGGAGGACGGAAAAAAACCCTGTACAGTGTTGTACGATGGCCATTGTTCCCTGGGTGTTGATTAAGCGATTTACCGCCTATGATTACGACCAGTACGTCAGGCCCAACCAAAGCACCCGGAAGAGGTTGGGCTGGGTCGAGCTCGCACACACATGGCGGAGCTAAGCCTTCAACCGGTGCAATTCCGATTACATCGGACAAAAGAACCCATGGAGGAGAATCAGCCCTTCAACAGGAGGGATAGAAGTGTGCCTACGTGATGATGAATGGTTCCGATGAACTCGCACTTTAGAATAGCTGACGGCCAATTCGATGCCGTATTTGTCCTTTCTTCGATTAACTCGCAATCACTGAAGAGGGAACAAAACAGTAGTGGCCTTTTCGTCCAGTTGCTTCATTATAGGAACAGATAGGAGCACGAAAACCACCTCAGCGCAGTAGGAGAGAAAGGCCAAGATTGTCTCAACCAGTTCTGGCCTCTCCCCAAGTTGCAAGAAGTAGAGAATACGCCACATAGACAACCTCTGATTTCGTGGATCTGTTCTGATCAATACAACATCATTCGGTCTTCAGAATGAGATTTGATAGATGAAAATCTACTGAAATGGAGAACCTCCTCGTTGTAATTTGATTATATCAGGCTTCCTTCGTCCTTAGAATACGAGCCCCAACAACTGCCGTTGCGATTGCAAGTGCAGAAAATGTAACGACGAACATGAACGTCCAGAGCGACGCTTAAAACGAGACGAGGAAGCCCAGTCGGTAGGACTCGAGGCCTTCAGCCTTAAAATGAATTCATTACGAGTCCCACGCTCGCTATCAACGTCACAAGCAAATGACAGGTGAGTGGCATCACTTCAATGATAAGTTCCGACGCCAAATCGCGGAAGATGGGGGATGAATTACTTGGTCCAAGAAGGTTAATTGCACTTCTCTAGTCCTTCGCATACCGACCAAGGTGGTACCAGAACCTCCCTCTGGAACAGATGCTTGCAGAACTCGACCCTCTAGCATGTACCTAACCAACCAATCAGATGGTCCACTTGCTTGCAAAGGTGGCTTCAAATCACGTCCCACTTCAATACTGCCGTCTTCTGTTTTCACTGTCCAGTCATTTTGTCTGTCAGCTAATCAAACAGACAACCCTCAGACACCCCAATAACCATGCAACAAGTAGGTCAAAAAAGCATTTGCCCCTTCCCCAACAAAAAGTCTTCACCATGGAGCCAGTCAGTCAAACCGACAATAGAGAGAGCAAACAATAAATGTCAAAAAATTGGAACTGCAGTCTGAGAAGAGGCATATTTAGGACCGACTTTTATGGCCAAAGGGGAGGTGTAGATGCGGGGCAGTCGAGTACCCCACTTTGCCACCTTCGTTTAGGCAAAAAAGTCGAAATTCCGGTTAACAGGCAGATGCAGAGGGTGGAAGGAAAGGCACGGGACAGGAGGGCGGAAGAGGAGGAAAAATTGCTCGAGTTAATTGCCTCTTGCTTTCTCATCCAGTCTCATAAAATAATCTTATTTTTGCTGTCGGAGAGCTTCTACCGCGCAACATCTTCGAGCTCTGAGTTGACCAGCATATTTCAGGGCTTGTTCGGAGATGCTTCCGAGACTATCCGCTTATTGGACCTAGTCGGAGAATCGCAGCCTCCCCTCTTAAATGTCGTCTACAGAAAAGGCCCTCCGGGATGCACTGAAGAATCTTCCACCATGATTGGATATTAGCAGAGGAGATGAGACAGAACGACGTGACCAACTTGTTAGTGATTTCATCATGTCTCTTCACTTTTCCGCCCAACAGATCTTAGGAGCAATGCACCGGTCACCATCCAAACACGGACGACAGCTTACCTCTACTTCAGCATGCACGTTTACCGGATTTGAACCTCCCTGGACTACAGCGTTTCGAGGGTGGGAGGTGGGGGGGGGACTATCAACAGGTCTGGTCACAACATCAAGGGCTAACTAAATGTTTGTTTTGCTCTCTTTAAGGAAAGATTGAAGTCAATGCTGTTTTCTTTCCACCGTTTTTATTAGTGTTAGTCATCAAAGTTTGGGGAGGAGCTAGCACGACGAAGCCAAACGCCAGGCTAGCTGAAAGCTGGGTCATTACAGAAAGGGAAATGGGCAGGGGCAGAGGAGGGAGACAGTAACACAACTTTAAAAACCCATTTGAGATACGGAAATGAGTTGAAACATTATTTATTTGTCGGAAACGGAAAATTTGCTCCAGTGCAACTATTGTACTTGCTTTTCTAGCCTAAACCTGTGCGTCACACATATGTGACAGTTTAATTCAACGAAAACGAAGTGGATTTAAAAGGTACAAGAAAAGCCAGATAAAAGACAATTAATGTCATGATAGAATGGTAGAGCATCTAGATGGACTTTTCTAGCCTAGACGGACTTTTCTAGCCCAAATTTGTGCGTCACATATAAGTGACAGTTTGAAGGGAAATAAAGTAGATAAAAATTTACAACAAAAGCCAAATTAGTGTAAGTTGATAACACAGTTGAGTAATACAATGTCAGAATGGCATAGTGGTAGGAGTCTGCCTATGAGGTCTTGCTAATGAAAGCGGAAATGACCTGTAGGATGAAATTTGACACCCTAGGGAAAACGACAAATTATTGGCCAAATAATACTGCCAATTCAGACGCAATTGCAAAGAAATGGATGAGAGTATCCACTGCCTTCTGCTACGACATGCCATCTTGGTCTATCACAAGCTACTGAGTCTGGCTCGGCCCAGGCTTATCTTCCACAGGTCACTTAAGAACAGACTACTTCCGCATCAATATTACACCAAAATGAGTTGGACTTTTGATTTACTTCTGACTACCAAGAGGGCCTGCCAAGAGTCAAATTTTCCTCCAATTGATGAGACAATTAACTGGAAGTAATTATGCAACAGAGGAAACAGGAGATCACATCAACAGTTAGAAGTGAAGGGAGAGCGAGGGAGAGATAAGCCTGAGTGATTCTGTCACCAGTGGTGATACTGTTTCTGCTAAAGATGGGGGTGGTGGTGGTGATGATGATGGAGATGATGGCGTGATTTCATCTGGACACCTGCCGTTGAGTGCCCTAATTAAGCTCTTATCCTGACCTGCATATCTCAGCCCTTCCCTAATGGACAGGCGCATAGCTCACCCCCAACACTGGGTGGTGATAGTAGCCATGACACATTCGATTGTTTCCCTGATTACTTTTGGATTAATTTAATAGAATATCCAAAAATTTTTGCTTTAAGTCGTGGTTGTCCTCATCAAAATCACTGACAAGTTGGGAGGAGATCAGTCAGACCGACTGGAAGTCCCATGCAGTCAACGCAGACAGACGCTCAAGACGGAAAAGGGGTGAAGTTGGTCAGAAAAAAAGACGCAGGGGACGGTAGTCTAGCCCTCTTACTGATGTCTACTTCAACAATGTGAAGGATCTTGAGATAACAGACCAAGGTGGTGATTGTGGCAGCAACAAGACTGTTGAACTATTTCTAGGGGATCCGAGACTAACCTGACTAATAACAAAGATAATATGTGCTAGGCATCTCTAGTTCTCCCCATACCACGAATTAGTCAATGTCAATGTTCCACGATCATCGTCGCTACTTCTACTGCTCCTAATTGCCAGTAAATAGTCGTGCGCCAATCTTTTCCTTTCCATTCCAGACACCGTTAATCAAGACGACGTAAGAGGCATCAGTGATAGTGCGTACGTGCTTCTGTGCCTGCGTGGGTGCGTCGGGATTTTCCCTCCACCAAAGTGTCTAGCCCAAATACCTCGGGCATCTACTCATCTCCATGGATGACTTCAAGGACAACACAATGCTCTAGTCGACGCTGCTTCACCTCACGGCACGCCACGCGAAGGTGAAGGCGCGCCCAGCAGGTTGACTGTGAGGCGTTCAGATGAATGTTATCAACAATTCAAGGACGAACAGCCATCTGTTTGATTCTTATTGCCGATAACAACCAGCCACAGCCCTCAACCTTGACAGTCACTTCCGTGACCTACTCGAATCCGAGTCCTTGATCTTGGATCCTGAATTCTGAACGCCTGAAAGAGCCAACATCTCTGTGAAACGGCAAATTTGTTGCTCTCAGAGTACGTGGAAAGAGCCGCACGCCGTCGACCACCACAGATGAGGAGGTGAAGCCAGGTTTCTTTGGCTAAGGCGGTCCAGTGGTGCTGTTAAATCGTTCTGGGCCGAGACTCATTTACGCCCTCTTAACGCTCCAGGAGTTCCAGACTTCACAGAAGAAATCGAAGTGAAATTTGTAAACCTTTTTCATTCGGTCATCGCTTGACACCTTCCTCGGGTTCCAATGACGACAGTCCACAGCGTGCCGACCTGGTGGTTTTTTTGCCACTCTAATGTGCTAGGGTGACGAGTTTTCCCACCGAATCCTCCACTCCAGTAAGGCTCAGGTATTTTGCATTCTAGCCAGCGCGACAGACAAAATGCTTCCGCCAAGCAGAGAGGCAGGAAAAGGAGGCACAGGAAAAAGAATAGGAAAGACAAAAGGGGAGAATGGGCGAACGGGAGGGTAGAAAACAGTGCCGTCGGCAAAATGATGAATGTGTGTGTGGGTGCGTGCAAACGTGCGAGCGTGTTGGCTGGCTGGCTTGCTCGCCTACGTTACGCGCCAGCACTCGTGTCTCAGAGAAAAAGGCAAGAGGGACGAGAAAAGGCGGAGAAAGAAGCAGCAGAAGCAACAGCAGCCTCTACAGTAGCAAAGGTAGATAAAAACTGCGTAGGGCTAAGCGGAACTACGGCTGCAAAAAGCGCCGAGGATAAGAGAAAAGCGAAGCAGGTACGGCCCACTCTTGCTGCTACTACTGCCATTGCTGACGCGCTTTGATTGTGAACTGATTGGCAACCGTAATTCCGACAAAGAGAGGGGACTAGATCCGGATAGCCTCCCTATAGACGGTAGAACCGGTAACCTCGGTGCCAGTTTTGGGGGACATATGGAAAGGTCTTCTCAGCGTTTTGTGGATTTGGACTCCCCGACAGTGGAATGTAGCTCCATGGATCCCAATTTTATGCTATTAGTCTCCGAACTCCTCTTCTGAAGGCACTTCCAGCCTTGCGCACTTGGTTACTTCATCAGAGTTTACTAGAGCGCTATCACGTGCAGCATCAAATGAAACGATTAGGAAGGACAATGCCTTTTGATAGGGGAATTGGATGATTGAAATGACAAACTAGAAGATGGGACGATTGTGTCTCGGCTATGAAGTTCGGAGAGATAAAAATACACCTTTTTGGAGATCCATTCGATGGATAAAAGTGTGACTCGGCCCTATGAGTTATAAGTAGTATACCTTACAAGGAAGGAAAAAGAATCTATTACCAGCACCAACCCATTCATCATGCAACCCTCACCACCCTAACTTTCGAGCGTATACACGATTGCAGAACGGAAAAGGAATGGTGGAATTACTACCCTCCAGGGCGTCACCTGATTGGTTAGTTGAAGACGAGAGAGAAGCAACTATTGGGTGGTAGAAGTGGCAGTTGTGGGCACCAGAAAGGCAGCGGTTTATGGCGACCGGTTCGCCAATTTCAACCCTCTTAAATAAACTTCACTTTTCAAGTCTTTTCACACGCACACACACCTAGAAGGAGACTAGAGGTGATACCTGGGTGGATGGGACTGCATAAACAAGGCTGCAGAGAGCGTCAATTTACTGGGTGCATGCTAATGCGCTAGCCTTAATAGAGCCTAATATAACCCGAACAAACAATTCGCAATCCAGATCGCAATCCATCTGGTTTAAACAACGACCTGTGCGAAAATTGAGGATCCACATCACCACAGGCCAGGAATAACTAATCTGTAAACCTTGGATCTCAAGGTTACCGCTTTTGACAGCAATTTATATCCCACCGAGGTTAGAAATAAAAAGGATTAGTTTAACGTGAAACCACGCATTTCCGACTTGTAGTCATGGCACTGGCACGGTCATTGGTGGGATAGCAGAGGTGAACCAATCAATCAATCATCATCCCGAGGTTCGGTTTTTTTGCCTCTACCTTTTATGGTTTCACACCAATCCATGTATTTGCAATACACAATCGGGTACAGTGATAAAGAATACGCATTCCAAGCTTTTAAATCGAGTTTAATAACGAAAACTGGGGCGTCGCGTATACGTGACGCAGATGAAATCGGCCAACAAATTGTACATTGCAAAGTGCTCGTGCTTAGAATGGAAATGTGACTCTTAAAAGGGACTAAGTGTGAGGTTTGGTGGTTCGTGAGCTCAAGAAGGGCAGGATGGTGGGAGAGATAGACTTACAGGTAGGTGAAACACCCTCTCCCCACCCACGCTCCCTTCCGCCAACTCAAACACTGCGCAGTTACTGTGGCATGTCATTGCACCACAAGTGGTGCCACAGATACTGCTACTTATGGTAGTAAGATACTAAAAGAACGCATTTTTACACCTAGCAATTCTAATACGGACGATATAAAATCCCCCAGGTGGTCTGGTAGCAGTGACGGAGGTTGTGTGAAAAAAAATCTGCCACAAGCATACCCACACGCACAACAAATCCGCCGAGAGAGGATGACAGCGGGACCAAGGGAGTTAATAAAGTGGTGAGAACCTGAGAGGCCTTCGCAGGCGTCAGAAGGGAAAATCTCCCAAGTTCCGGTCCAATTAATCCCCTTCTTTGCGCCCTAATCCAACACTAGACTAATTCACAACTTCAAATACTCCGGCGGCAGTCATCGGCCGGGAGAAAGCACTTGTCGTAGGGAAGAGAGTACCGAACGCAACACAGACCCCAAATCCAACACTTCAAAAGGTGAATGAGCCTAACAGAGCAGTAAACCTTGTGAGCAGCTTTACTGCTGATCTAGTTTTCCACATTTTCGCAGATTCACACAGTCACATCGAAGAGAGTTACTCTCCACTTGATTGGCAGTGAAGAGGGCCTTTCCGACCTTCATTGAAGTAGAAGGGCAAAAAAGGAGGGTAGAAATTTCAAAATATTCCAATTTACAAGAAATGTGGATTGATACATCCCGAGGCGTCATATCACATCTTGTTTACCTAATTACCACCCCTACCCCCTCCTGCCCCTTGGGACTCAAAGGACCGACCGATACAGTCCCCATTGGTTGGTTTAGTGCGTTAGTCACCACTTCAGATGATCAAAAGACGATATCAAAGGAGAATCGCTTTAAGCTCAGAAATTTAAAATGAATTTCCAAACTCCAAAAACAAAAACAGAGGACAATAAAGTGCATTCAAACTTTTCCTTTGCTCCACTCTACTAAACAACTTCAAGAACCCAAGAAATGGGGTGAGAGACATCAAAGAGAAGTAAAATGCCCGAGAGCACACACTTAATTTATCCGCGTAGAAGAACAAAGAGGGCTTAGATAATCCGCTTAGCAAAAATAAAAAAGAAAAAGATTTCTAAGCACTGAAAAGAGGTATTTAATGACGGCCTTTTGATCACTAAACAGTTCAGTTAATACCCTAAGCTTTACCAACCCAGACAGTCAGTCTGTATAGGTCGCCTATTAATCACCTTTCATGAGAAGAGAGAGCGACAAAATCAAGACTAAAAAATAATCATTTTGGAGAAGAAAAGAAAAAAAGAGAATTTAAGTTAACTTTTTACTCTCACTTACCACGCGCCATCGATGTGGGAGAGATTTTCCTCCGTGTGAGCGCCACTAGAGAGGCTGTGATGCTCCGAGTCTTGCATGGAGACCGGAGCAAAAGAGACGTGGTAGGGATTGGGAGGTGCCCGCGCAAATCCCCCTTGCGGTGCCAGCGGAGGCGAGCAGTACTCGTACTTGGGACTAGAAATGTGGACCCGCGGGAGAAAAAATCGATAATGAAGCGGAGCCGCCGAAATTGGGTACGAGGAGACATTGAATTTGCCCCATTGGAAGGGGAAAAATTTGGGCATTAAAGTATATGCAGAGAGGTCGAGAGGACACCGTAGCTGTTCTACTCTGCCTAGGGTTGCTCCCTCGGCCATACAATCATCGCAACCAGAATCATCATGGCGGCGACTGATTGTACGGTAGGGGCGGTGCGTAAAGTCCGATGGCCGAGGCTACAGGTGAGAAAGTAGTTGGCTGCCCCACTCCTCTACTGGTAGGGGATTTTAATCATGCAACTGAGTCACGCACCACTTGAGAGACCATGAGCCGAAAGCTGCCTGTGGCGGTGGCGGTGGACGCATGCATCTCAGCTCACGCGTGAATTAGCACCAACGGCAATCCCAACTGTACGCCACTCGATGCGCCGGAGGGTACTGGCTCAAGTGACCCTCCCTCCTCTCACAACATCAATCAAGACAGGGTAATTCTCTCCAATTGCGCTTAACTTGTGAGGACGGACAAATAGGGAGAAAAAAGGTAGTTTTATGTCAATCAGGCCGGTGTTTATTAGTCTTCAAAGAGGTTACCAAGGTGAAGTGTACACATAAGTGGCGAAATCGTTGAAGCGGGAGTAATAACCTAGTCTTTCATTAAACAAGGAAACGATGTATGCTTGATCGTGCCACAGAAGAGGACACACCATGTCTCGAAGAATCTTGGAAGAAAGAATTCGTGTGATTCAACTTCCGCGCTACTAGGCTTTTGATGAATTGGAGAACCTTGATCAGGGGGATTTTGAGTCAAACTTTACAAGTAAGGCTTCTAAGAAGGCACACTACCTTACTCGATGCTACAGTATTCGACTACACGCCACGTCACTGCACAGTCGATGACGACGCCCTCAACCGCTCCGGTCAGACATTCAACTTGATTAGTGTCAACGCTCCAAAGATGGTCAGCCATAATCCTAAAGCTATTAGTGATCCAAAGTCTAGGTGGTTCCCACCACAACCTCGACAAAACTGAAGTAGCGTCTGGAACACCTGTCTGATCCTGAATTTACAATCTTGAACGTCGACAAGCACACGTCTCTGTTGGAAGGTTTGGAGCGATGAGCACAACATAATCACTCTTTGTTACTAAAAAACCTTGCAATCGGAAGAAGTTGGTGCAAGCAGGGTACGCAGAGAGGCAGTCGCACGGTTTTCATTGGCATGGATGTGGAAGCCAGGCAAGGTTTCCCATCAGATGATGATTCAGCCGCATCGAGGCCGCATTGCAGGTATTCGGACTAACCACCTTGACACTCGTCTCTCTTCCTCTCTCTCTGTGTGTTTACGAATAGGAAGAAGTGAACATGTAAAAAGTGGATGCAGTTAGCGCTCATTGAAGTGTGTTGCATTTTGCCGTACAAGTAGATCTGAAAGTTCCGGCTTGATGTGAACGTCGTCTCCGATTGGCTGTGAAACCCCCAATTTTTAAGTATAGACCATAAAAATGTAGATTTACTTAATTTTACAGATTTTTGATTATATCACTTCGAAAAAAAAGGAAAAAAAGCAACATTTAAGGAATAAAAGGAAGAAACACTGCGCACAAGAAGTCGCAAACACTAGATGAATACAAATACGTCCCAACCAAGCGGGGAGCAGCACTTTTGCGCTACAAAAATTTGGCGAAAGTTATCCGGCAAACACGCACCGTGTGTCCATCAATGCAAAAGTTTTTTCCCTTTTCTCCCGCCCCTGTCTCCGCCTCTCCTCCACTCAGCAGCTACCGCCTCGAGCGCATCTTGTGCGTTGACAGCAGTCACAGGGGCTAGGAAAAACAACCCTGGGAGGAACAAACGCATCTAAGTGTGAATTCACGTCTTGCATGCGTGCAATTGTGACAGCACATTCGACCTTGACCCAACCAATGGGGAATGAGTTTCGCTTTTCGTTGAATGCATGCACAGAGTGGATCGCCTTGATGGACAAATTTATTCGTCCAGGCCATGGCAGGTCTCTATAGGCACTGGAACCCGACACCCGTGCTTGGCATACTCCATCGAGTTAGAATGAGAACGAGGGAGAAGGCAGAGGTGGCAAGCGCGGTAAAGGCGAGTTATGAAGTTATGTGCGTGCATGTCAATCATCCTCGTCGGGGAAGGTTGACGTCATTTGAAACGATTTGAGGTAGACGTCGTAAATCACAAATATCAAATGAGAAGCAGGAAATAGAGAATGGAAGGATATGTCAATCGAACGCAATCCCAGATGATGTATGATCCCCACAACTCAGCTGCTAACGGAAGGCAAACCACACCATTCAGCTTGATGCATGACTCCCATTGAAATCCTCACGAGAGACCTTCAGGTTCTGGTGCAAATTGGGTGAATCACTGGGTGTGTTGATCGCCATGGTGAATTTAAAGAAGCCAATGAAACACCGCAGATAGTGGCTTGAAATATGGCGAGGTCGGTGAGGTCAGGGTGCGTCCACCTTACGGGCGTACAGCACGGCATAGAAGTGTAGAGTGCAGTGAGACATTTGCCTCCGACTGACGATCTCACCGCCACGATGCCCACGCAGAAGACAGGTTTATGTCGAGACCAGGGTACTCGATAATGATTGGACATGGAGACCTCGGAATGCAGTTATTCGATGGACGACTAGAATCCTTCGCCGCCTTTTCCATGAGGCGCCAGTATTCTACTCGGTTTGACTAACTCAGCTCGGTTGTCAGAGTTGCCAAAGCATCAATTTTTGTGGTTCCTTCAAGCGGATACGACGGCGGAGTAGGAGCAGGATAAAAAAGGAGGTGGAATTGACAGGAGTAAGCATGGAGAGTGAGAGACACACCGGCTCATGTCAAGTTGAGGCTTCATTAGATATGCAGTGATTGATCCACCGAAGGTGTAAAGAGGCCTCCACACGCATACATGTGCACAAGCCGTCTCGCGTGTGTGTATACCTGTGTGGGTGAATTAAAAAGGCATTAAGAGAGCCTATCACTCAGCCCCTGGCTGAATCTGGCTCACTGGCCTTCAATTAAGTGCTGCACGCCTTGATTGACAGATACCGTCGCCTGTTCAGCCTAAGTGCTTGCATTTATAAGACGCTGGCTAGCGAGAACAAGAGGTGGCTGCAGACGTAGATAGCGCATTTTCAAATCGAGTTGGAACTGCTGAACTGGGACAAGGGACGAAAAAACAACTTTATGAAGCGCTAACAAGCTCACTACCTCCTGCATCAACATACACACACACACACACAGAGGGAGAGAGAGAGTAGTGTCAAGGCGATTAGCCCGAATACCCGTTATGTGGCCTTGGTACGGCTGAATCATCGTCAAATGTGAAATGTTGCCTCGCTTCCATATCCATGCCAATGAAAACCGTGCGGCTGCCTCTCTGCGTACCCTGCGTGCACCGACTCCTTCCGATTGCGGGGTTATGTGGTAATGAAGAGCGATTGTGCTACATTCATATTGAAAACCGTACCACAAAGACGCTCGTTCCCTTCATTCATGGGTTTGCAGAAATGACTGCCGAGGTGGAGGCTTCTAGGCTACAGGGTGAGAATGCTGAGAATGGGAGGCAGGAAAACACCACAATTTGAATCGTCACCAAATCCATCACTAACCAATTTGAATGTCTTACTGTTTCGCGATTGAATGCGTCCGTCATGTCAGCCTGACTGGATAGGTTCGCCACCTATGCAGCAGCCACTGTTACTTGCAACTGACTGACAAATTGTCACCTATCAAGGGATGTGGCACAGCCACGCCAGCAGAACGTCAACATAAAAGTCCCGATTTGACGCAAACTTCACCTTTCTGTGTTTCCTGCATCATGATTGCCTCTAAAACGCTTTAAAATGCACAAGTAATCAAGTTGCAGTGGAGTTGGTGCGTTGTTCGGCCCTCAAAGCAGATTGATTGATGACCTCTACTGAGATCGACGAAATTCACCAAGGCAATTCCAGATGGGATGCAAATTCACTACACCGACTTCGGTCCCGTCTTCTGAGCGAGTCTGGCGTACTCAATTAGAAGACAATGTTAACACCCCGTCCCTGTCCTCGCAGTGTGCAAGCGCTTCTGTACTTCCAAGTGTTCGGGTGTCAAAATACTGCCCGGATGGACCAACATGTCTGTGCTCTTTCCAGCTGTTTATCACAATTTTACTTCAGCTTCATTACACTTTAACAGGACCGGAGAAATGTACAAATCGAAATGTTAGAAGGAAACAGATTCACACCTCTCCCCTCCTCCTTCCTCCCTTTCCTCCCTCTGCGTCCTCGCCATCCTTTGCACGCCCACCGCCAGCGCCAACGATCAAAAGTTAGGAGGAAGGGGGGAAAAGGTAAAAGAATTTTGACAAGAGGTAAATTTCAATGTCACATGTTGATCAGAGGTGGGAAAAGCAGAAAAGAGGGCAACACTAATGAAATTCAGTTAACAAAAAGGCAGACAACTCAAAGGAGAAGGCCAAATGCATCGAATCTGTTGAATTGATGAGGCAGGCAAACTCAAAGCTCCGATTTAAAGGGATTGGAGCAAGGTAAAATAGCTAGTAAATTATCCCGACACGTGATTAATTTCAATTTAAACACCAGTAGTGAAGACGGAACGAAGTAGGTGGACGAGCGAATAGAAACATCTGCTCGGGTCACCCTCAGGGGGGAGTCAGTCACCTCCGACCAAATTGACCAAATCAGAGGCGAAACTATCCCCCCACCTGACGAAGAACAGTCCGCATCTACTTTCCTTGATTCGTGTCACACGGATGTACGAGCAACCACATTTGTGCGATCGGGCGCGTCACATACATCCGACGCTGATAGCGACCGTGTGGGAGGATTTGACGCTTACCACGGAGTTTTGAAAGCACTGTAACAGGCAGGTAGTCAGAGCATGCAAAGAAGAGCCACTGAGCTTTTTTGTACCCATTTCTTATCTGCCGACTAGGGTGTGTCAGGGCCATTTAAACCTGGTTGTTTATTTGCAAGCGGGTTGGGCATCGGTCCGTTCGCACATCCACTTCCTGCCTTCCCTAGCCTCCTCTTCAGGTGAAAACCTTCCCCCCCACCCCTTTTCTCGCCCCACTTGAAAACGCCCCAAAAAGGAGTCAAATGGAAGTAAGCTTCACCAATCCTCAATTTCGCCCCTGGGCTGACCTTTTGAGGGAAGTGACGTGGGTTCCCGCCTTCCCATATCCTTACCCTCGTTTCCGTGTCAATCAGAGGGTTGAAATGATAGCGAGTGGGAGGGAGAGGGGATGAAAGATTCAGCTAAATCGTGGGAAATTTTCAGCATTTTTGTGTGCCAACATGAGCTAAATGCATAAAGTGAATCCTTCATCTCATAACCTCACACAAGCTATTTCCCGACCCACTTTTCTGTGCCATCTCGTGGGAATGCATTAGTTAATCCGCGTGGTATAAGAGCGCTTTTTCCTCAAGGCAAAGTATCTTTTAAAATGAAAAAGTTTTCACTGGAATGTAAAGGAATGAGGTGCAAACAGGGGGAGCTTTCGTAAAGGGTCAGTAAAACGGACAATTTGGCATCCCATCCCATCAGCAGGAGCGATATAAGTAGTATCTCACTCGAAAGCTGATCAAGGAAACCATTTCTTCTCGACTGTAATCACTGTCGAAAAGGGAGAAATTTGGTCACTGCCAATCAGTGCGCTGTTTGATAAGAAACAGGTGTTGTCCCTCCATTCACTTTATCCCCTGTCATCCTAACTGCAGGACAGAATAACCACCCACGTAACCGGTGTCCCATTTCTGGCCAGGCTTGTAAGACTCTTCCGGTGGAAAAGAAGCTGCAACTCAGCAATGTAGCCTCAAAAGGTAACAGCCTGCGAGAAATTGAGTGGTAACTCCAAAAAACGCAGAAAAGGCCCCACAATAGGTACAAAATAATAAGGCTTCTAGTCTTTCACGGGTACTGAAAAAGACATTTAACGAAAGGAAGTTGCATAGTGATTCACCCTCGTGAATTAAGGCTAAGTTGGACATAGATCCCATTTAAAAGACTAAACAAGTTAAAAAATCGAAACAAGCAGCTCCAGCAAAAGGGAAGGACTATGAGAGGTGGACATTTGAAAGGTGAGGATCCCCCCACGGTGCTCCTCCTCGCCTCTGAGTATTTTACATAGAACACTCACCAAACAGCATCCATCCACTTCCTCTGGCCGGCCCCAGTCATTCTTCCCATAGATTTATGTTGTGTTGGTGATAGGGGGTTACTGGGTCCCGGAATTTGCTGCTGTTGTGGGAGGGGCGTTTGGCAGTGAGGACAGCAGGCGAGGTGTTGAGGCACGGGCAGTTCAGCCCTCTGAAAACGCGTCATCTGAATATTCTCCTGTGTTAATGGCGCTGGAGGATAGCAGGTCTGTGGCGTGGGTGGAGGATAGTAGGTCACTCCCCAGGGATTCCCACTCTGACATGCACACTGTTGTTGCAGCATCGGAGGTCCACAGAAGTAATGGTAGGTGGCAGGTGTAGAGCTACCTCTCAGAGGCAGCGGCGCCTGTCCCAACTCTCTATCCTCCTCCACTGTGGGTAGATAGGCGGTATGACGGGCGAATTCATCCTCCGAGCACATCAAAGCAGGCTTTGGTCCCAGACCACCCTGTTGAATGTGTGCGATAAAAGCTTCCGATTTGAGGAAGGCTTGATACGCCGTGGTGCGGAGAAGGTGACCAACTTCAGCTTGGGCTTCATCAAAGACGGTCTGGTCCAGGGAGCTCTTGTGCGCTAGACGATCCGCGATTGAACGGCGGGTTTCTGGACGCAAACGGACGGGGGTATGATTACGTCGACTGCGAGATGCGGTGGTAGCGGAGGGAGGCGGGACTCCGCTTGACGAGGCAGAGGCAGAAGCGGAAGCGGAGCCGCGAATGTAGGTTTGATAAATAACCTTGATAAGTTGTAGGATCTTCTTGCGGTCAGAGGGGTCAACTTTGCTGCGAAAACCCTGAATCGCAAACCAGAAATCAAGGAGGTTCCCACAGCCCTCCGACTCGAGGTAGGATTTGAAGAGGGCCACCCCCTCCCCATCGCTTAGTAAAGCATCGAAACTGGCGGCCCATTTTTGCCATGTAGACTGGACCTGCTCTAGTTGCTGTTGCGACTTTTGAGCCTGGTGATGGGACTGCTGTTGATGCTGCTGGGCTTGGTGGTGCCATTTACAATCACTAAAGGCCCCGTAGAGACTCCCGTAAACGTTTCCGCAGCCGCTACCACTTCCAGTGCCACCAGAACCACCAGATCGGTCGCTGCGACCATCAGCTTCGTGACATGAGCGAAGAGAACCCGGTGGATAGCTCATTTAATAGGAGAATGAGTTTGCCATTAGCAAATGGATTTCGGATCTACAAAGGGGTTAGAAAAATTAAATTATATTTCCAAAAATTAGAGAATAATTTCAGGCGCAACCTAGTTTAAGGCAAAAAATGACAACAAGCTTGCTTATTGCCATAAATACAATACTGTAAACCCATGAGATGACACTTGATGTGTATGCAATTGTCAACAGAAGGAGTAAAATTGCTTAAGAGCCGATGCAAAAAAAATTATTAAGTAAATAAAAAGATGCAAATATCCTGTCAGAATAATGAGGAAAAGATGCGACTGCAAGAAAGAGAGGTGGACGACCCACCTAACATGACAAACAGAGCACTCAACCAACGCGCTGAAACCCAGTTAGCAAACTGCTATTTTATATTAAGGTCACGCAGGAAACTCTGGTTGATCCAAACAAATGCAAACGCAATCTAATTCGTTGTTCAGTAGGAATATAAGTTTTCTCTGCAAAAAATTCCGCACGTAAAAAGAAGCCGTAAAACGGATGAAAGGGGTCTTACTTATTTTGGGCTAAAGTTTATACCTACCGAGTTTCCAGCTAGTGTTGCGTATTTAGCACTAATCTCTACTGTTCTTGAATAAAAAAGCAAATGCATAGAATGCTTTAATGGACTGTCGTAAGACTACTAGAGCATACGGTAATGTGTAGGAACCAGTTCACTTACAATTACTTCCACTTATGCGATAAGTGTGAATGTGTTTTAGCTGACTTGTGTTTACATCAACCTGGTGATTAAAAGTTCACACCAGCCCTCATCTTGACTTACCACAGTGTTTCGAGTCCTTAGTAGAGTCGTGGTAAGTCATATGAATAGGAAGGAGGATTTATTATAAACATCTGAAAGGGTTGAGTTGCTGTAGACATGACAGAAGGCATATGCTGCTGTGTGGACGTTTAGCCTGCGCTTTGTGAGGTCTTAGTAGACGGACTTTTAGTTAAACAAAATATCAGGTTACAACATTGTTGTCATCTGCTTTTGAGTGCCATCGCTAAAGCATTCTCTAGTGGTCCTTCATCAGCCGTCAGAACGTAGTCCATGCTGTAAAGACCAGGCGAGGAAGTACTTGACTACAGTACCAATCCACCTGAACGATGTCATTGCATCTGGAGGTCCTTCTCAAACACAGACAAAACTAAGGAAAGGAGAATTTGCCGACGAGCGTGTCTTGTGCCCCGACCAACGTTCACTAAGAGCAAATGCCTGACAGATTACACTTGACGCAACCCCAGGCGAAAACCTACACCAGCTTGCTCCCTCCTCGCCAGCTTGTTCACGTTTCGGTACCACTCAGCCAGTGGAAGCATCGAATTCCTACCCAGTTGCCGCTCTCACTTGCAGACCGCGGGCATGGCAATGGAAATCGAGAAAAGGGGGGTCGAGGAAGACCATGGAAGAAAAGGAGAACAAGAAAATCATTTACTACTTTGCTCTTTATACACATCAAAAGGCGCGATGGAGGGGAGAATAATGGTGAGGGAAAAAACGGGCCCTAAGCAGGAGTGAGAGGCACACCTCATCCAAAAAATCGACTTGAGGAGGAGGAGAAGGGCAGGGGGTGAGATGGAGACACGAGGGGAGGGGAGTAGGGAAAAGGATTCTACTTTAATTTCTCTAGTCGAATTGTGGGGACGCAGCATGTCGTTGACGGGTGGTGAAAGACGATTTTCTGCCGCGAGACTCATGATGTTGATGGGAGTCGAAATTTGAGAAGGTGGATCGATGCGTCACTCATTCCCACAGCGATCAGCGGCTGTCAAAAGAGAAACAAGAATGAACGTCAAAACTCGCCTTCCAGTCCAGTCAACTCACCCTCACGGACCTTCTCCTACAAACCCACCATGCTCATCATCTGCTCCAGCAGCAGATGATGAGAGCACCTCCACTCGTAGGAGGCCTCGAAAAAAGCAAAGGCCATCCCGACTCCCCACCCTATTCACCCTCCGGTTCTTTGAGGAAGGAGAAAACAGTCTTCGACCGAAGAAAAAAAGGAAGAAATCAAGTCACATCTCGGAGGCAATTCGCCGTCGATTCTTCCATCCCCAGGTGGATATCATTCCCACCGCTTCTCCCCTCCGTTCCATCGAGAACCGAGTGAGTTACGCTTTGAGGGATGACCTAGTGCTATCGCAAGAAAGACATTTCGTTGTTGAGTCTTCTACCACTGAAAGAAGCTTTGACGAGCCGTAGACAATCCCCTCCATAGCACCGTTCCTTGTTCCAAACTAACTAAGCCCGTAGGAACCGACTTCCTTGAAGGTCATCCGAGTTCAGTTCCTACTTCGACATCTGGATGGTTAAAAAGCGTTTAGATAATCTCTTCTCTCCTCCATTCAGGACTGAGTTGGGTGTCGTCATTCCAGTTCTTCTTCGCGGAAGGAGGAAACAAATCGGTTCGGATTTTGGCGATTTCTACGCCATTGACGCTTGCATCTTTAGGCAAGATATTGGCTTCAATCAAAGAGGCAAAAATTGCGATTGAAGTGCTTCAGAAGAAGCTGCAATTGGGACTTCGAGAGCGATCATCCCTCCTTAACCTTTCCATCTTTGGAAGGCTTTGAATGGAGCCGAAGTGGTCTCCTTTCATCACCTCACCCCTCCAGATAGTTTCCATCTGAGAAGTCAATTCCAACTACCCCTCCATCTCCATCTGGGGTAGTCTTGGCACCTTAGGAGAACACAACCCCCTCCTCGGCCCTTACAGTTCCAATCCTTTCCTCGCCTCTTCCACCAGTAATTGAATTGCTTGGCCTTTTCAATCCCGATGAACTACATCATGCTGTACCGAAATTGAGAGAAAAAGTCAAGGGGAAAACACCTCCTCTCACCTCGTAGGGATGCATCGCAATAGCGGTGGGAAAGAGATTCTGAGCTGGTTGATAGGAGGCGATAACTCGGCCATCGTGGAGGCGAGCAACACTGAACTGACGCAGGCCACCGTACGCCACCATGTGCGAGCGAGTGCAGGGCAACGAGACCTGCAAAGGAAAGGAGGAAGGATGGCGTCTGTGAAATTTCCCATCTCTGACTTAAGATGTCCCAAAACACCTGCAGATAGCGAGGAAATCTCACCTGAAGACACGCAGCTCTGATACCGCAAATTGGAACAGCAGGAGGGTGGGGAGCATCGCCATCAGCCTTTCTCTCCGCAGGAGGCACAACTGATTGCCAGGTGGCGTTAGCTGCTGGCACCTCCAGTTGCCACGCGCCCAGGGCGCCCGAACTCGTCACGGCGTAGAACCGGCGGTCCGCCTGGTAGGGAGCAAATGCGAGATCCAACACACGGCCACCTCCACAGACAGTCTCGAAGACAACTCTGTAGGAGAATGACATTTTCGCAATTAACTGTGCTAGAACTCTCCGGTGCCTTCCGTGGCAACAAGTCGATGGGGAATGCTGCTCACGCTTTGCGGGAAGATAGTCGGGTGTCAAATATCTTCACCGCCGAGTCAGCAAACCCCGCAGCGAAGATGTGGTCGTTGTCATTTGCGGCACGAGCCAGCCTAGTGACTGGATAGTCGGAATGGGTCTCAAAGTCGGCGACGCAGGCCTCATGATCTGTATCGAAGGTGCGCACAACTCGAACGTCCCCGGAGACGTGAAGGAGATGATGGAGGGAGCAATCGCTCCAACTTGTTACCAGACCGACGCCGGCCGTCCGGCGGGAGCGGATCAGGGGCACCTGGTTCTCGAGGGCTACCCTGGAGCAGAAGAGAGCGCTAAACTTCCTACTTTCAGTTAGATGAAGAAAAGTGGGATAGAATTTTTGGATTTAGTAACCAGGATCCAGATGGAATCAACTTCAAGCGTCATTTACCAGACCATGAGCTAAAACGACATCCCAACCTCTCAAAAGATCTCACCAGGCAGTGAGGAGAAAAGGAGTGGCTCCGTGTTTCCCATCGTAGTCGCGCCACACTCGAATGCATCCATCTCTGGAGGCGGTGAGGAGGAGGCTTTTCTCCTCCAACGTATTTAACAGCTCCAATGATGTCACCTGCGCCAGACTAAAGGAACAAAAAAGGGACAAAAAGTTTCCACGTTAGGCGTTTCCTTCAAGAGGACGCACCTCCACTCCCCCGGTCTGCATAATGTTGGCCTGGAGGATAAAACCATCCCCATTTACTTCAGAACCGTGGAAGAAATGGGAAGTGGAATCGAATTAGGACATTAACTATCCACGCTATGAAAGATTTCGAGGCTTTATTCCACGTCCGAAGCTCGCGGCAGACAAAAAAATGGAAGGAAGTCCGTTGTCGAGGGCAGACAAATATGACCGCTTAGAACAAAGACAACGACATCTAAACTGAATTGCGACGTGGTTGTCAAGGTAACAAAGGAAATGAATAAATGGGGGAGTAGCTCCTTGTCGAATTCCCCACTTTGACGACAGAAGGCACTTAAAACTCTGATAAGTTAAACAGTCCCCTGAAAACGTTGAAGGGAAATGGCGCATAGGGGGTGTGAAATACTTTCAAACACCGGGAGAGGAATCGACGTCACTTACTCATACGCCTCCATCAGCGCCCGTTGCCGTTTAATAGCTTCCATCAGCGCATCAGACACCGTCAATTGTTCTGCTGTTGCATCTCCCTCGGTGAGAGTTAGACGCCGCACCCCTTCCAACCTATGCACACCCCATACACTCACCACATACTCCTCACCATCGGCCACGGCTTCAGCTGCCAGGAGATGTGGTTTGTAGGGATGAAAACAGGCTACTGCCGCTGTACCTGCGGAAGCAACTCCTACACCCGCCTGGAATATATGGAGCAGCTGTAGCTCCACATTCACTCCCTCCTCTTTCTCCGCTGCTTCGGTTGCCTCTGCGTCGGTCAAGCATCGCCTGAGATGAGGCGACACGGTGGTGGAGCAGAAGCGAACTGCATCCTCAGTAAGTCGATTGACATGCCGGCAGTTGCGACGCGTTGGGGAGAGTGGGGAGGCGGCGCGGGAGGCGCGATGCACGAGGTGGCGCATACAACGGCGAATCTCGTCGCGTTCCGAAATGGAGGGGGAGGGAGTGAAAAGCCTCTGGCCTGTAGCAATGGTGTGCCAGCGCTGACGACCGCCACACCGCTCAGCTGAGTGCTTCTTGAAGTTAAGCAGGTGATCAGAGAAGTCCTGGGCTTTGGGGTTGGTGGAGATGGAGGAGAGATCGGTGAGGTTTTGCGGACTCAGGGTTGGTGCGAGGACGGGTGGATCCATGGAATGCGGTAGGGCTGGAAGAATCGGAAATTCTATGCAATTACTTATGAAGTCCCTGACATTATTGTAGTGTTAGTAACATTGAAAATTTATGGAATTTTATTTTCGTAGTTGTCAGTTCAGCAATAAAACCTTTAAAGGCAGAATCATTCGAGAAAACCAATTCAACGAGGTCTTTTCGCCTCGATAAGATCACCAAATCTCGACCGTTAAGATTCGTAACCGGTTCTAAGACTGTCTTTCTACCATCCGAGCCAACAGCCGACACGCATTCCATTGAGTCCAATCCAATCCATCCACCGATAATCAAGATGGCAAGACGAACAATTGTGGTAGCAATGTGTGTCGTCATGGGACGGTCTGTGGTGGTAAGCGAAAGTTCCTTTCAACTGTGACGCCGAACCCGAAGAAGTGGACGTCCACCCTTGTCTATATTGAACCTCAAGCACAGTACGGAAGGTTGCGTTGAACTACGCCACGGTACGGTACGATGATGGCATGATCGGTCACTCAGCAGCAGCGCATTTATGCGGTGTCAACACAGTCGACCTAGTACCTGACAATGGTAGTCCAGTTTTACGAAGCAAAAGTCGAGTCGGCGCATGTGTTTTGCCACCACCGTGACTGCAATGCGATCATCAGCCACGAAGACGAAGTCTTATGAAAAGGGAACGCATGCTGAGTGCCGGGATAGGTTCCCACGCTCCCTCCCACATCATTGAGATGTGAAACAGGCTGTGCTAGCATGAGATGATTTAGTTGCGCTGGTGGATCTATCTGTGTCGGAGGTGCTTTCGAAGTAGTTGGCGAACGACAAAACAAAACAGTCATTGTATGACTCTAGGAGATCGATGGTGATTGCGGATTGACTCACTCTTGCCGAGGGGTTGTTGAATTTGCAGAGCATTAGGATACTTGTGAAGAAGGGGTTGGCTGAACCACTGCGAACACCACTGAAAGAATTCCGTCCGGACGTCCATCACGCCCGCCTTATCTGTTGATTCCTATCAATGAAAAGGACGAATTGACTATATTTTAAATTGAAATGTTAATTTAAAAAATGCAAATAGGACGGAGGAATGAATGCTCAGGGGTTCTGTTCCAACAGTACAAAGTTGATTCTGGATCAACCTTTAGAAGTGAGTGACTAAATGTGCTATTCAAGCTGTCTAGAAGACGAAATCGTTTCCACTCTGCCGACAAAAAGGACAGTTATCCAACCGCGGATAAATAGAAGCAACAAAGCAGTTGTCGATGACTAGAAGTGCTAGTCAGCCGAACAGACGTACGGCATTATCCGATCCAGTGTACTGCCTTCGTCGGGGAATTTGCTGTGCCGTCATGACTGTCGGCGGTGGTTGCTGCGGTGATGGGCTGTGAAATAAGGTGGGAGAAGAAGCATATAAACAATGCATAATAATTATTTGGACGAAGATGTAGGTCATCTCAGCCTCCTGCGATTCTACCTCCACGATGACGATGCGGACCTATTCGTAGGGTGCCTCAGCCCTTCTGCTTAATAAGACACTACCTCCAGACTGATAAGCTCAGTAGCGTCTTCGAGGTAGCAGAAGGTGTATATCTATCCAGAACATGGTATTGTCAAAATCATTGTTTGACAACTATGCCGCACCTCGTGTTCTACATCATGGCCGGTAACGAGGCAGGGTAACAGCTAAGCTTCTCCGAGGACTACACCAGTGGCAGTGCGGTAGGATATATCCCAATACACTCTATTTCCGTTACGAAGAATCCGGAGGCCTTCCTCAGTGCTTCGGAGGCTTGCGTCCCGAAAATAAGTTCTTTTGCTACCGAGAGGGGGCGTTTGCTGTTCACCTCCAAATCCGCAGGTTCACAACAAGGAAACCAATAAGAAATCCCCTAATAACGCATCTAGCGTCCTACAGGTCAGGCATCTACCCACGCAATGCAACTGCATTCACTGATCTGGCAACGGCAGACAACAGCGAGGGAAAAAAGAAAAGCGATTTACCACAAAATACAGCTGTCAAAAGGAAAATGATCCCCAAATGGTGAATGAGACGGCCAGCTAAGGCTAGCACTCACGCTGGTGTCTTCACTTGCACTTCAGCCAAGGTGCTGCTTCCATCAGCGGCGCCTGGGGTTGGTGGATCGCGCAGGAAGAGGCGTCCACCCACCACGGTAACCTCTCGATCTATGTCATGCTACACACAAAAAGGAGGAAGGATAACAATAAGCAGCCCTTGAAGTGAAGAGACACATTGGGGATTGATTGAACTCACTCGTCGGATTAACTAAAATGGAAGAAAAGAGAAGCCTATCACTATAGGCGAGGAGTAGAACGAGACGCATATATAAAGGCAGTTTGTGGCGTCAAGGGTAGCTTCAATTTCGCGGGCTCCTTAGTCAACGTGAGTCTCGTTCAGTATCGTGGTGGTACATTATCCTACTCGTGTCACCTCCGCTGACAGCCTGTCAGCCCATCTGTGGCCAATTAATAACCTTTCCATTTTGACGTGCCTCGATTACCCCCTCAGCGAAAAATTAGGATACCAAACACCCGTAATGAACAGGTATTGCATTCATGAAACCACATCCGCCGAGGAGAATCGGTCCGACTAGTGGAAAACAGTAAGCTAGACAAATAGGTGAGAAATCACGGCACACCTTAAGGTCAGAGTAAGGCTAGCACTGGTGGTAGTAGCAGGATGACCTATAGGTCACGTGACTCTAATATGAACACGCATTAGTGGACTGAAAAAAATGCAAGGCCTCAGAGGCTACTCAAATTAATCGTGAAAAGGATAACATTGGCATGTGATTAAGGGGGGTCAGAGCCAAACAAGAAGAACTAGGGAGCCATTTTGAAGAGCGCAAACTGCACCTGCTCATCGACAAAATCCTCTGGTGTATTTGTACCACGTCTGACCTCCGACACAGACAGACACGGATAGACCTGCTAGTGAGGCGCAAAAGGCTATTTGGTGGTATATGAAATAATGTGATAGCTCCTTTGATAGGCAGAATAAGCTAGGTGAATGTCCAGATGCATGCGGACCTGGACTCGGACCGAGCAAGATGTGGCTGCAGCACTAGTGCAAATGTGTGTCGGCTGTGTCCTCTCTCAGGGTAGCCAACCAGAACGCTCGAGACTAGAAAAGGGACGAGCGACAGCCGCACTTACGACTTGGCAGGATTTAATGTAACTTGATTCAACTGTTGACCATGGGGTGGTAGTGACGTGACGCCTGGCTGACTTGGACACACAGATGACCATCGCAAGCCAGAAAATTCCTCATGCAATGGAAAGGAGTGGTGATGGACTAGACTCACCTCCCGAACGATGTGGAAGAAGATCACTGTGGCCAGTTTCGCAACGGAGGGATGGGGATCGGCGGCAAGAATAAGAATCATGTCCCAAAGTTGGGCAAAAATGCCCCCGGGTACGTTGGGCTCAAAGTCTGCGCGAAAAAGAGGCGGTTTCAGTGTACTACCAGCCAGCCCACGGCATAGAAACCTACGGGAAACGCTACTCGTAGCAAGCTTCCCAGCGGTGATAGCTTAAACCTTATCACCCTCTCTCAACAAGACACAAGGTAGCCGAGAATTCCACCTTTATCGACAGGAGGGAACAACCGTACTCAGCGCTAGCCCCCTTTCATTTCTACCCCCGTTTTGCCATTCAACTGTCTATTTTACTTCCAATTTGATTGTCTAATGTCAAGGTGATACCCACAACTCGGGTGGATAGCAACACCAAGAGAATGCGGGAAATGTGGAGGAGGCAGTATCTCCCTCGTTCCCACCCATTGTAAAGAGCAAATATTCCCATGGGGATGGTGTGCAGCGGTGCGAGGGACTGGCTTTCCATTGAACTACCAATCCCATTGTCCGAAGAAATTTTCCCCGTACAAATTCTAGTTGTATCGAAAAGGCAGATTTCAACCACAGCTGATATCTAGCCTAAAGTATCCATCCATTCATCCATCGGCTTAGCCTTTCCGGCTTTGACAGTTGATGTCATCGTCAACGAATTGTTTCACCACTCACGTCCTTGACAAGGCGATCGTGAAGTTTTTCCACCATTGATATGCAATTCCCCTTCATCCAGAATGGAAAGTCTCCCTGAATGACAGCACTTCTGGACGGTACGGCCTGACACAACACCTCCTCCAAATAACGAATTTGACGGGAAGCTTCCGGGACTTCGAAAAAGAGTTTGACTCCGTCTGTAGAGCAAGCAGGCTCAATCCACACTCCGATGACAATAGCTACCTATCCCTTCTATATGGTTGTAAATAAAGCTACTTCTAGAATCGTACTTCTGCAAGCGGTAGCAAACCCACCTTCAAGGAAAGTTGGCACCGAATTGTAATCGGAGACATCCGAGGGAAGGACAACAGAGGCAGTTTCACTGACGGAGGTGCGCTGAAGATCCTTGTGGCTGCGACAACGCGAGGATCGACTGAATCGAGAGAGGCCTAGTTCCGCCATTCCACGAAGCAGAGCGGCAGCACTGGAGGGAGATCCGATGGGACTGCCGACTGTAAAGGAAATGAAGAGGCCAAGATAGGCCTCCGTTTTTTCAAGCGAAAGAGCATGGAAACGAAATGGATGATGCGTAGATGAAGGGTAAAAGTTCCTTCGAGAATCAAAACTTTAGGACTTTGTGTATCCAACAAGATGAAGGATATCAAGCATCAAGATGAAGGAGATTTAAGACTCGGACCCAGTTTTGGATTTCAAAGACGGGATCCGTAGCACTAAGGGAAAAGAATTGTATCCAGTCATTTGCTTTCAAGGAGTTGATTGAAGAAACTTAAAGGGCTTTCAACACAACACCAGAGAAACAAAACCCACCGGTCCGAGGGCGATCGGAATTGATGATGGCGGCAGCCGCTGTGGTGGCAACGGTGAGGTGGGACTCGGTGGGAGCGGTTCGAAGACTTCGAAGGATGTTGCGGTAGTAGAGATGAGCCTGTTCCACCATCTGCGGCTCGCACTGCAACACAAGGCTACGAAGGGCGACCACTACCTCACAGCGAACCAAGGGAGAGGGATCACGGGTTCGCTCGGCCAGGCGAATGCCCACTTGGTGACTGAGCTGCAGAATAGTTCGGGTACTCATCCATCCGTCTAATTCCACTCATCATTTTCTAGAAATCACGGAAAAGCACTTTTCGACTCACCATATCAGCTTCCTGGGAACTCTTCTTCCCCTCTTCAACCGACTGATCGATCAGTGTCCCCAACGCAAACACTGCCGCTGCTCTTACAACCGGATCTGCATCACAAAGCCTGGGGAAAATGGCTGTCTCCACCGCCCTTCCACCCTCCGCTCTCACCGCTAACCGCCGGGCTGGGTCACAATGCATCCACACACGCCCCAGTGCCAGTAGCAACCACACTTTCAGGTGATCAAAGTTGTGTCCATCTCGCATTTCCTCCGCATCCGCAACAGCGGAAACGCGAGTCAACTCTTCCGCTGCAATATGGATGAAGGAGACGGGTTTCGAGGAGTAGTAGACCTCCTGGAACAGCACATCAGGGGCGCCCGTCTCGCCTCGGACTAACATCTTCGCCAGCGCAAAAGCAGCCATAGTTCGTACAAGAGGCGACAGACTAGCATCGTCCTGTAGGCACGCCACAAAGTACCGATACCCTGACTCACGAATGCCCTCGTGTCGGTTAAAATCAATCTGTGCGGAGCTAATAATTTTGCCCCAAATGAAGACCAAATGAGGCTTCACCTCAAGCACATTGGAATGAAAGAGTCGGACGATATAGGGGAGGATGCCCACAGTGATGCAGTGCGACACCGCCCATGAGCCAAGGTCGAGGAACTCGGAAAGAAGTTGTAGGGCACGAATGCGATGAGTCTGAGAGAGGAGGACTTGGAGGAGGATGGGGAGTTGAATGGCGGACTGGCGTTGACAGTAGGCAGTGTGGTTGGAAGAGGCTTGATGCAGCCATGCTTGAAAAGCGGTCATTTGGGAGGTGAAGAAGGAAGCGGGACGGTAGTCGGGTGGTGATGAGTCATGCACGAGAGGCAGAGGGTTAGGGCCAATCACAGGGGCAACGCGAGGCTGGGCACAACGCGCGAGGAGGGAGGCGGCGGATATGGAAGGACGAGAGAGATTGGGTCTAGTGATGCCATCACTACCACCTACTGCTGCGTGGAGATGCGCTCGAAAGGAGCGTGTAGACGCAAGGCCCAGACGTGGAGGTTGGTGGGAGACCTCTGGAGGGGATTTCGTGGGTGAAGGCTGGTGAATTTGTTGCTGGGATGGAAGAAACAGTTTCAAGTCAATAGTTTGAAACAAGAGGAATTGGTGCGCTGAATGATCGACAAGTGCAAAAACTGATTTGATGAAAGAATAAACGGGCAAAGGAAAGGATTGGTAAATGGATGAGCCGATAGACGAACCGACGAAAGAATGAGCAGATGGATCCACGACGCCCACACATTCACAACTCACCAAATTAAGCTGCTTCAGTTGTTGTTGTTGCTGTTTCGGTGTCTGATGCTGAGGGCGTTGTCCATGTTCTGCAGTCTCTTGCGATCGAAGATGTTGTGTCGTACCTTCCATCTCACCGTAATCATCGTCCTCTTCCTCTTCTTCCTCCTCCTCGTCTTCTGTTACATCATCTTCATCGACGTCAATGTCGCTGGAAGAAAACTCCGTCTCTTCGGAATCAAAACCCTACCAACACCGAGAAAGTAGTCACCTTATTCCCGTTAAGTTGTTTTGATGGGTAGCACCCAAGGGTAATTGGAAGGAGCACTCCAAAGGCACCCAAAACTGAATGGGAGGCATAAGGCGAAACATCGCGCTCCCGCGCATCCGTGAAATGCGCTTCATTTTACTTGACAAATAAACTCACATGATGGTGATGCTGATGTCCCTCCTCGCCTTGCTCCTCCGAATTTCGAGTGCTTGGACTGCGGGGTAGGTGGGAGGGACAGGAATACGATTTTGCTGATGGAGCAACAGTGGTAGTGGCAGTAACGGTAACAGCTGTTGAGATTTCTGCCGAACGCTCCTCCTCGCTGATACGAGAGAGCTCACGCGTTTCCACAACGAATTTCGCGACTTTTCGAGGCGACAGCGAGGTAGAGCCTCTTCCGTGATGGCGAGATTTTGAGGTCTTGGAAGGAATAAAGGAAAAGGGTAACTGATTGTAAATAGAATGGGGATATAGCCTTCCGTCGCTTCGCTTTGGATCCATGCAAAGGTTCAGCACTGCTAGAGAAATTCACATAATTAGCGACTCCTCCATTTTCCTCCATAAAACTTCCCAAAGGACATAAATCAATTCATCGACACAGTAAACCTCATCTCATTCGATTTTAAGACAGATTACTGTCGATTCATGTAGGCATTCCTTCTCCTCCGACGCTTCAAAGCTCAATCAATTCATCTTTCCCTTTAACAGGGATCGGCAGACAGTCCGAGGGTGATGGACAACCAGACGGAACTCTTCTAGCAGTGTTACCAGTGGTTCAGTCACCACGGCAGCATGTCTGTATATGAGCTTGCCAATTTGAACTGCACGTCCAATGTAAAATTTCCTCTTCGAAAACAAATCCTTCCATCATTCTACCCCATTCCGCTTCAATAACCGTTAAAGTCTTTATAGGACAAAATGCAGACTCACAACTCCACTATTTGATTCATATCCCGGCGGTGGGGTAATCATAGGCCGTTTTTGTTCTCCATACCCTCTCTTTGCCTCCTCTTCCGCCAGTCTCGCTTTTTTCTGCTTTCCTTCCTCCACCTGTCTATCGATCTCATTCAATAGAGCAGTCAGACGTTGAGCCGACGCTGAAGTCAGTTCTAGCAGATCCCTGGGAATGTCTACCATTCCCCCAGCCGATGCCGACGAAGGCAGTAGGAGTGGGAGATTCGGCTGTGGCTTCTGTTGACGCTGCTGCAATAACACCAAATCCGCCTGCGGACTTGTTTGCATGACAGAGATTACTTGTGGAAGGTAGTGGAAAAGAAGGTCTAGAGAGTGATCCCAGGCGCTCCTGTAAGGCAGATAGGGGTAGAATGAGTTCTCTCAGACTTAAACTAATGAATGAAGGAAAGCCTATACAATCAGGTCGTCATGACACGAAGGATACGAGTTAATCATCGAGTCACGCACCATATGGGATGATCGTGGGTTGGGTTGAGACGGGGCCAGGAGCAGGGATGGCAGCCAAATGAGCGCATAAGACGTTGAGCGAGGAGGTAGTTGCGAAAAATGCTCGCAACTAAGAGGTCTTGACGGAAGAGCTTTTGGAAGAGATCCACGGGGAAGCTGCACCAAGCAATAGTATCAGTCACTGCAGTGAATATCCAGTTAATCTCCCCCAACAGGGACATTCGGTTGCCATGGCTGCCCGGAATGTGATCCAAGAGGGCTTCGTCAATATGACCTGAAGGGAGAACAAAAAGAGGAGAAGGAAAGATACTTTCTGCGAGCTTGATCTGCCGAAGACTCAGAAAAGAAAATGATGAGAGGAAAATTTGCCTTTTATTTAAACCTGGATACCTTAGGATTAATGGCAAAGGAACCCTTAAGCTCGAAGCAATCTCTATAGACGCTCTTCTTGAACGATTCGAAACCGCATTCCTTGGTGAAATGGCAGGATAGATAAAAAATAAATGGAGAAAGAGCAGTTGCCTTTGAAAAGGTTTCAGTTGAAACCGCCTAAGAAAAGCTGAGAGAAATGAAGAGAATGGATGGTAGAAGCTATTGACAAGATCCACTTTGGAGTACAAAGAAAGTTCCCACAAAGTTGCGTTACTACGAACCAAACGTATCAGTGCCAAACAGAAGGGGATAAGGTTTGTTCAGGCCGCCAAAGATAGAGGTACTAAGAGTCGATCGTCAAGTAACAGGGATGGAAAGGAGAACTGACCAGGAAACGACTTGTTATACTTCATCCAATGCCACCGCAACGCCGTGCGAATGGGAGTGGTCAGGCAGGCCGTAAAGAGATCCGCAGGCAGTTCAGCCAGTTGAGGTAGATCCTCGTTCTCCTCGCAGGCACACAACATGATCGTATTTTCCATGGTAGCCGGGGCAATAGCTGCTGCGGCGACAGCAGCGGCAGCCATCTGACCCATCCCACTGGCGTGGTTTGAATAGGCCTGAAAAAAGGCAACAGCGATGCTATCGACATTAAGATTCACTTCTGCATCTGCCTTCACCTTCACTGCCTGTAGGGCGCTGACACGTCCCTGGGGAGATGGAGTAACAGGCTTCGGAACACTGGCTATCTATCCATTAAGTAGTTCATTCACTCACTCATATATTCGCCTATTCTTCTGTACACCTATCTATTCGTTTATTTGAGCCGAAGACTGGCAGGTTACCTGCGGCGATCACACCAATTGCATTTCAGCCTAGTCATATTCCCAACATAACTTTGCACAGGCTTCTCCCATCCCTCTCACTTCTAATAAAGCCTTAAAGAAGGTTTGTATCGAGATTTGAACCAGGCGGTTACTATGAAAGTCGTCAGGGCAGAATGACATCAGCGGTTGACAGTTAAATCTGTGAAAAAATTGTAGACAGAACCATTTATGTTAGATTTCTCGATGGAGTTGTCCTGTTTATGAACTGCATTTGACCATTCGCTATGGACCAAAACCGACCATCCACCCACTCATTCATTCATTCAAACATCCCAGCATCACCCATTTCTACAAAAGGTGATCCCAAAAATAGCTCATTCATAAGTGTTGGACAGGTAAATAAACGAGATCACATTAGATACATCTAATTAGGGGGAACACTCATACTTACATGACTGAAAGCGTTGGCTTCTTGTTGAGCGCCATCTGCGGCAGCCATACCACCATTCGGATCAGGTGGATTGGTCATCTTGAAATGGACGATGAAGAATGTTACCAGAATGTCCATCACAGTCCGCATTTTATTTCATGTCTTGAGTGAGTTATTAGCGAATGTTTTTGTCAAAGGGGAAGAGAGGCAATCTCTCGTATGAGGAAAGATATGGGTACGTGGGGTACAGATTGTCATGTGTGCTCTAAGAATCTTCCCTGAGTATATGAGGGTGCTGAAAAGAGGTCGCGCTGACATGATGAAAGCAGGGTGCCCCAGGAGTCCAGCCAACTACAGTTGCAACTACCGGAAATAGAACAAATCCATTGAACTTATTAACGAAAGTAGAAGGACATCGATCGAAGGAATTGCAAGAGAACCTGATGCATGCATATAGAAGCGATGAGCATTGTCAGTTAAAATTGTGAATACAGGATATCGAAACAGCTTTTGCTTCTGATCATGGTAGACTAATTGAATGCTTCACTGAGTTGACGGAACGTTCCAAAAAGACAAAAACTTCCAGGAAAGCACCACCACGCATAACGAAGCGTGGGTGATTCATCCCGGTTAGAAAACAATAACTTGCCAACTTGTGGCCACTGAATTCCCAACAATTGCGTCCACTCACAGGGTGATGGGACGTCTTGACCGAGACGAAAGTACCGTTATTTATGCGGATTTTGCAACACGTAGTGCTGCTATCAGCAGCGAATGTTATACGCGCCCTCAGTGATAAAAACCGTCCCTCAAGCGATTCCCACCGATAAGGGTTATTACTTATTGAAACGAGAGCATCTGTAAAACTTGAGCGCGAATTACACCAAGGTGAGAGGGACGGTGTTCTCCCATATACCATTAACAGAGACTTCGTACCTTAGTGTTGTCTATGGGGATATAAGCATGATCACGGATCATGGCCAAAGTCCTGGAACCAAACTATGAACAGGGGGAAAATTGCACCAATCAAGAAGGCCGTCTAAAAGCAATCCGGTCAAAAGAAATCAGGAAACATGAACTCACTTCTGTTTGCCTGCGCTGACAAAAGTACTCATAGAGTTTGAGCACCCGACCGGCATTTTGACAGTCAATAACATAGACTGACGGTCCACCCAACCAACGCTGGAGATCGTGGAGTGACAGTGGGATGTACTTAGTAAAGGTCTAAAAAAGAAGTGAAGCCTAAGAACGCCGAAAAGGAAAATGAAATAAAGACCAACTCAAGTACCCGATTAAAAACCCAAATTTCACCATTTTCTGTGGGGCGAGGAACACCGTGTCCATTGTAGTGAAAGAGAATTCGATCCGCACGGGCATTTCGACGCATATTAACGCAAATCTTCTTCACTTCCTCCAAGTTGGGATCTAGGCACTGTCTGTAGCATCCTTTAGGCTGCCACCGCTCATATTGCGACTAAAAAAGAGTAAAGGGATAAAAGCCGTAAATGTTCCAAAAGAGCAGGAAAAGTGAATTCGTATGAAACAACGAACCTGAAGATTTTTACCGATCATATCGACGACGCGATAGCCAGCATCAGCTGGATCGACCCAAGCCTCGATGCGACTATAGGGCGGTATTTTTTGCACATCCGGAGGATCAATGTCCATGTTAAGACATACAACAAGAGCCACATTTATAGTTTTAATCTTAAATGGGTGTTTTTTTCTTTTATTCCGTACAAATTACCTTCTCCTTAGAATAGGATTCCTTATAAAGTTCAGGACCTTTCACCGGATTACTTAGTTGGGAAGCAACAAAAGCCTGGCTATGCTCAGAGGCATCGCAGAAGTCCTTGAATATATGCTGTCCACAGGGCTTCGTACCAGAATGATCGGTAGAGCCCATCTTCCTCGATCACGCTACGGAAGAACTAGCTGCACGGCAAATCACCCCTGCGGCTATTCTCACGAGCGGTTCAAGGTTGTTCGTTCGAATCAACGTTCTGGTAAATTCAAATGCCTCTAAATATGAAAAATTTTGTAATTACCAAGCTGAATATTTAAAGTTTTGTGCTAAAAGTAATTGTGCTGCAGTGCGCATTAATTCGTAACTCATTTTTCTGCCGTAGCTTGGTGCTCCTAAAGCAGAGCAAAATAAAAATTAGTTTAAGGTGAAGCAGTAGAGCTTCAAACCAAAAGTTTACGTTGAAGTTAGTGCATTTTCGTTTATCTTATAGCTTAACTATGGGTCGGAGAAATTGGGTAAAACTTAAAATCGACGCCAGTGTATTTTCCTTTTAAGACCATTAACTAGAATATTTCTTCCGCGTATTGTTAATAATTGCTTTTCTTTCTAAATTACTTTATTTTATCCTTTGATCAGAAAAACGAAACATAGTAGTGAGGTAGTGCTTCTTCCATAACCTTTTGAGTCGACAAGAATCGCTATTTACGGCTGCTTCAAAATCTATTTTACGCGATCTTTCGTATTCTGTGTCTATTAACATGTGTTATTCGGTGGAGGGTTTAGTATGTTTTCAACAACGTCGGGAAAGCGATTTTTGAACGCCTGGCAGACGCACTGGTCATTTTGGAAGTTACAGTTAGGACAGTCGTGAATGATGAAGCACTCCACGTCCGAATCGGGGTACCACGCCTCTGGTGTGTTCATCAGCAGCAAGTCAATCAAAAACGTACCCACAATTCTTGATGGCGTGATATTGCAAAGCGTCTCAGGTTGATAGCACTGTGAGTAAAAGTTGGGTGGTTCTTGAATCAAGTATTCGCCCAGGTTATTGCCCAACACTCTCAGTATGGGTTCCATAGACTCCACATTCATTTGCGTGTAATCAATAAGAAGGAATCTACTATCTTCTACTTCACTATGAAGAGCTGCAGACTTGTAGTATTGGCGGAGTAAATGCATTAGATTGAGTACGATGTATCGAAACACAAGTGCCATCTGCTGATTCTCCACCTCTCTCAGATCCCTAAACCAGAGATAATGGATGATGTTTGGAAGCCTATGCTTATAAGAATCATCTGTGGCCATCTCCTGCGCCATCTGTCGCAAGTGTTTTTCCTCTTCATCAGTTTCAGGCTGAGACTGTAGTGGTGCTCCAAATCCGTGGAGAGTGAAGTCCACATTACGCATAGCAATAGCTGTGTCAAGAGAGATCGGCTGCCGCAGATTTTGAACTCGTTGTATTATATCAACCACAACCTCAAAAACCATGTTTGCAGGAAGATTTTGGAGAGCACATTTGCACTGATCGTAGCAAGTGGCCTCCAACAAAATCTGGGTCAGTTTTCCCATATTCTGGGGTGGAATATTTTGCAGCATCGCTGGAAAATCCAACTTTCTCAGAAAGCTCCCCTTGTGTCCACAAGCCAACTGTTCCTCATGCTTCTCATGCAGTATGCGCATCGGAGCCGCAAGAGCCAAAGGTATGCGGTGCGGACCCTCATCGCACGGCGTTACCAGGTCGTATTGAAAGCGCATTTTTGCACCCTCCAAAAATGCATAATCAGGGATGGGGGTTCGGATGAGTTCCATTAAACAGGGCATGAGTTGCGGACCCCTCGGAGGGGGCAGACAGCCCAAGCCTCCCTCATTCTCCGCGTCTGTGCATCCCGCATCCGCCATGGTCGCTCCCCACGCAACAATCAATAATGATCCACAGACCCGGGGCTTTCAGACACCTTTCAATCGACCTCATGTGACCCTACGTCAGCTGGTCTTTTCTGGGGAGGATCTAGTAAAACTATTCCTTTTCCATTTTTCGCTTGTCCACAATGCTAGTGCCTAACTCCGCTGACAGAGGGAGGGGGGAGAGGGGAGGCCGGGGTGAAGGGGACCAAATACGTCCTCAAGCCAGACAACCCATGAGATTAAGAAGGCGGGAGTGGAATTAAAGCACAGTGGTTGGTCTTTCCTCAATCATTACACAAATCAGTAACATAATTGTGGTTAGTGCTGTCAGATCAGGTAAATTTGTCACCCTCATGGTGAGTCGCCAGCCGTCATGCTTTCAACCACATGAGGAAAGTGAGATTTAAAGGGCTGACAGATGCATTGCTCCACGTGGAAGTTGCAATCAGGTTGGTCATGAAGGATAAAATCTTGCACCTCGGCCGCGGGGAACCACACATCTGGTTGGTTCATTAGCAGTAGATTTATGAGAAATTTGCCACCGATAACCAATTCTGACAATTCACGCAATGGCGACTCTTGATAGACCTGCCGATGGAAGGCAGCAGGTGCACGAATTAAATACCTGCCCAGTTTATTGCCCAGGACTCGGAGTACCTCCTCTATGGCGCCAGCATGCATTTGTGCGTAATCAATGAGCAGGAATTGGCCCTCATCCACACCAGCAGTCGAAGCGCCAGCAGCTAAGCAGTATTGCCTCAGCATTTGCATGAGATTGAGTACAAGGAATCGAAAAACAAGTCCCACCTCCTTGTCCACCAGGTTTTCTAGGTCCTTGAACCAGAGGTAGTGGAGGATGTTTGGAGCTCGGCGCTTATAAAAGTCGTCCACGATGATATCTTGAGTCACTTGATTCACGTAGGCACTCTCCGAGTCGGCTGGAGGAAAGGCATCGTTCAATCCACCGTACTTATGATTGATAAAGTCCACGTTAAGCATTGCCATTGCTGTATCATTGGAGATGGGTACAAACAAGAACTGTACCGCTTGGATCACGTCGACCAGCACTTCAAAAACTACACGTGTGGAGACAGTCGCGAATCTTTCCTGACACTCCTCCAATGTATCGGCTTCTCGTAAAAACATGGTCAATTCCTCAATAATCTCCGGTGGATCCGTGTTCGGTAGGGTCGGAAAATCGAGCCTGGAAAGGAAGCTCCTTCTATAGTCCTGGTTCAGTTCTTCCGTGTGCTTTGCATGCAGAATGAGCATCGGTGCCGCAATGAGCAGCGGTATAAAGTAGTCGCCCGGATTAGCTTGAGTTAGTAGATCACCACTAAAGGCTACTCGTGGACGGCGAAAAAATTCGTCAGCAGAAATGACAGGTCGAATAATATCCATTAGACAAAAAATTGGTGGACCATTTCTATACGCTGGTGGAGACCGCCTATCCGGCATCGGTTCTGTAGATCCGTCAGAGTTGTCACCCTCCGTGCTTGCCATAATCGGTCCACACCTATCAATCAATAGTGGTGCAAGTGTCGGGGCTTTCGAACACCCTCCTTTTGACCTCATGTGATCCAGTGTCAGGTGATTTAAAGATGATAGAGGTGGTAGGGCGAGAGAGGGTTCCACCCATCTTTTTTACCTCCTGCAGCCTTAAAGGGAGTGGAGGGGACTTGGGGGGAGGGGGGGATGTGGCACAATTTAGTGACAGAATTGATAGGTAAGTGTTGGTGCTACGACACTCAGCCCATTCCAAGGCTACCCACGCTAGCAACTGTCAGTGTCACTTATCACAGCTCTACTTAAGGCTCTACCGATCTCCCATCCTAGGCCAATCACCACCATAGGTTTTATACTTCCTTGCTTTCCTTTTCTTTTTTTTTATTTTTTAAGTTCAATTTATCTTTCATGGCCTGGTGTTGTGCTGGATCATCCCTCAAGAGCACCAGGAAAGATTTGTAGAAAGCTCCAACAGAGGCATTGTGGATTTTGGAGGTTGCAATCGGGAACGCTGTGAAGGAGGAACTCAGGTACAGTGGCACCACAGTACCACGCCTCGGGGGTGTTCATCAGGATTGCATTGGTTAGAATGCGTTCAGCTAGAATTGGAGGCTGTCCATCGCCCGCCCCTTCAGCTTGATTTGGCCCTTTCCTCTGGAGGGAGGTGGGAGGCGCTTGGATTAAATATCGCCCAAATTTGAGACCCAGTACACGCAAGATTGTGCTCATCGACTCCACACGCATCCCAGCATAAGCGAAGAGGAGGGATCTATCGTCCCTTAATCCATCAGGCAAAGCTGAAGCCATACAGAAGTCTCGTAGCAACCGTGTTAGATTAACTAAGATGTATCGGAGGATAAGGTGGCAGTGTTGGTTCTCCGGTAGCTTTAAATCCTCGTAGAGCTCGTAAAGCAGGATATTGTAAAAGTAGAGTTTCATATGCGCCTCTTCAATCATAGCACTCTTCACCTGTTCCATGTACTCCTCCATTGTCTGTGTTGGCTGTGGAGGTGGATGCTGAGACCAGGATCCAGGCCTGAGGAAGTCTGCAATAGCCATGGAGGAGGAGGTTTTGTAGGTGACGTGCACTCGCAGATTTTCAGCGCGTTGAATCACATTGACCAGAACCTCAAATATCATTCGCGCAGTTAATGAACTGAACCGCTGTACGCACTCATCAAGGGAGGAGGCCTGAAACAATAATTGGACCAACTCTTTCATAACCTGCCATGGCAAAGCACCCGGTGGGATTGGATGATCCAAAGTGTTGATGAAGCTTGCTGAACGTCCATGAAGCAATTCTTCCCTATGCTTCTGATGCAGGAAAATCATTGGCACCGCAATGGCCAGGGGTATGGCGTAGTCGCCCTCATTTCCGGGAACTGATAGACTTCGATCGAAAAATATTTTTGAACCCCCAAACAGCATGGAATTGGGGATGGGAGTTGTAATAAAATGCATTAGCCAAAATGTCGGTGGATCACCAATCCATGGGGGTGGAGATTGCCTGCCTTCCATCGAATCTGCCGACCTTCCATCCTGTGTGACCTCTCCAGCTCCGGCTCCCTCTCCTGCGCCTGCTCGTGCCCCTGTCCGGGCTGGTGCCCTGGACGCCATACTCGGCCCACACGTGTCAATCAATAGTGTCTACTGGCCTCAGTCTATTCAACTCTAATCGACTTCACGTGACTCCATACCACCTGCTTTTGAGGGTCGACGAGTAAAAATTTTGATGATAGGCGGATACCAACCCACTAAACACAGTCAAATTGACAGTTGTCCTGATTGGTCATAACCATTTACAAGAGGTTAGTTACCAAACTCTCAACCACCGTCAAAGCACCTAGCACTTGTTCTGTTCCTCTATTTTAATACTCCGGTATACGACAACCGATTTGATGTAATCTGTTATCACAAATTGATAAATGGCACGTCACATATGCGTGACACTGTCAACTTACAACCAGACTGTTGCTACTGAAACTAAATAAGTAGAGAGTTCTATAGCTGCCAATGAAGAAATTGACAAGGAGGGGAAGGGGAAGAGAACCGAGAGCATAGCTTTAATGAACACTGTTAGCCTCTACACAATGCTTCACGCATTCATGGATGATAATTTGCATGCTTTGTGATGCAAAATGAAACTGCACTTTATACCTTTCCTCAAGGCTGTTCTCAAGTCGATGATACGCAATTCAAGGATCTGGATGCACGTCTTAGAGACCGTGGACGGTGCCCGACTACACCTGTATCGGTTTCAACGCTAGAGGTGTTGCAATTGAACGAGTTGCCAGAACCCAAATGTGGACCAAAGACCAAACATTGTTTGTTCCAAGCAGCCGGACCCACTGCTTGAGGAGGGTTGCCAATTTTTTGTTCTAGGTTTTGGTTGGCCCCAGGCAGTACATTACACTGAGCATAAGCTCCGGTGGGATTTGCAGGACCTGTAAAATGTGGGTATTGTCGTGAACCTTCATCCATTGCATATGGTTGACCTCCGGGTGGAACAAATTGACTACATGTATTTGAATCACGGGATGGAATCCAAGTTTCCATTATCGGTGGCCACTTTTGATTGTCAGGTCTCTGATAAGGTGGGCCATATTGGCCAATGTTGCCGGTCTGATTCCAAGTTCCACCTGAAGGTTGACACTCTAGATCATTTACTCCAACAGCATTATGGAAATCTCTGGAAGGAAGATACGACTGATCACTAATTCCTTTTAAATTCGGGCATCCTCCAGTGCTTTGATTACAGGATAATGGTGTCTCGTCTGGTTTCCATATAGTTTCCGGTGGTGGACACGACTGAACGCTAGGATCACGTGCGTTGTGGTTAAATCCGGTGGTCTGGTAAAGCCCTTTTATCACATTGCCACGTGGCCACATCTCTGTTGGCGGTGGACACGATTGAGCACTTGAATCACGTGCCTTCTGGCCAAACTCAGTAGGCTGAGTCGGCCCCCTTATTACATTGCCTCGTGGCCACATCTCTGTTGGGGGCAGACGCGACTGAGCACTAGGATCTCGTGTTTTCTGGCCACACTTACTGGGCTGGATAGGCTCTTTCATTACATTGTCGCGTGACCTCGCCTTTTCCGCTGGTGGACACGATTGAGCACTTTGATTACGCGCCTTCTGGCCATATCTAGTGGGTTGAAAAGACTGTGCAAGTGTCTCGCCTCGTCGACGACTACTTGCAGGAGGTCTACCTGGGTTCTGGAAAGCATTAGCCGATCGCCGCGCTTGATAAAGCATTGCATCTCGATGTATATCAGAATTGAAATATGGGCAAGTTGGTGCAACAGATTCCAATACACCTAAATCAAATGGTTCTGCTTGCTCCTGACAATCGGGTTGAGCAGAGGGAGGCACATTTGCAGACTGGGGATCACACGGCGGTGGGCAAGGTTGTTGCTGGTGCTCCGTTTGAGCAGAGTGACACACATTTGCATCCTGGGAAACACCCGACGATAGACAAGGTTGTTGCTGTTGTTGTTGATAGTTGGGTAGAGTAGAAAGAGTTGCATTTGCAGACTGGGCACCCCTTGGTGGTGGACAAGCTTGTTGTTGATAGTTGCCTCGAGTAAAGGGCGACACATTTGCAGACTGGGCCCCCCTGGACGGTATACAAGGCTGTTGCTGACGTTCCGCTTGAGGAGAGGGGCACACATTTGCAGGTTGGGGAGCAATGAATGGTGGGTAAGGTTGTTGCTGGTGGTCTGGTTGGGCGGGGGGAGACACATTTTCATCCTGAAAACCACCCGACGATTGGCAAGGTTGTCGCTCATTTTCGGAGTGAGTAGATGTAGGCACATCTGCATCTTTGGAGCAACTCGGCGGTGAGCAGGGCTGTTGCTCACATTCGGGATGAGCAGAGGGACACACATTTTCATCTTGGGCATCACTTTGCGGTGGGCAAGGTTGATCAGTGGCTAGATTTTGAGCCGCTAGCTCGTTGGAAGGCGGACACTCGAAAGCGTCGGTGCGGGCCTGTTCCACAACATTGGAAGGTTGAACAATGAGGTCGTGGAAAAAGATCGGCAATCCGTAACGTTGGTGAGGCCGATTACATGAAGTACTCTGACCAGCCTGAATAAGAGGACATGGACTTCTGAGGGATGGGAATTCTGGCGTTTTAACTCCGATTGTGTCTGGAAGACCTTCTAGAGCAGTACAGGTGGAGTAGTCAACAGCGTTTACATTCTGAAGACTTTGATAGGGTGGATAGGATTGATTCACAAAACCCCTTGGAGGTAAATAACCTTGCGTAGAAGCTCCAGTCGGCTTCATGGATAGAGTCGGGGCGGCACTGAATCCTGGTGTGCACTGTTGATGCACTGGAGGGCGTCCTTCAGACTGAGCTCGCATTTGATTCAGGAGATCTCTTGGGGGCAAGGAGCCTTGCCTATTAGCTGCAATTGGGTTTATAGGTAGAGATGAAGGCACCTGAAATCCTGGGACATATTGTGGACCTTTAGAAGATGGAGACAGCTTTGAGCAAGTTCCAGTTTGATTAACAGGACCTCTGCAAGATGAGCACCCCTGAGAACGCACTCCATATTGACTTCTTAAAGACGAAGAGCCTTGCGCGTTGATTAAGGCGGAAATTATGGGTAAAGTCGGATTCGCACGGAACGCAGGTGGGTATTGCGGTCCCTCAGATGAGTATGCTCCAAAACCAGGCTCACTTTGATTTGCAGGGCCTTTGGAAGGCGAAAATCCCTGAGAACGCCCTGCAGCTAGATACTGGGGACCCCTTGGAGGTGCAAAACCATAACTAAAACCTGTAGTTGGTTTCATGGGTAGAGCTGGAGAGGCACCGAATCCCGGTAGATACTGTTGTCTCATAGGAGAGCGTTCTTCAGAATGAGCTCTTATTTGATTTTTGGGTCCCCGCGAAGGTAAAGAGCCTTGAATATTATTCTCTGGTGAATCCATAGATGAAGTTGAAGAGGTGCAGAATCCCGGAGGAAAATGTGGACCTCTGAAGGATGAGGGCAATTCGGAACGAGCTCCAGTTTGACTAACCGGACCTCGGGAAGGTGAGCACCCCTGAGAACGCACTTCCGATAGATACTGTGGACCTCTTGGAGGCAAAGCCGCTTGCATGTTGGTCCCAGTGGAAATCATGGGCAAAGACGGATTAGAGTGGAACGCAGGTGGGCATTGTGATCCTCCGGAAGATGAGCTTCCTTCAATATTAGTTCTATATTGATTAGCATGACCTCTAGCGGGTGAGCATTCTTGCGAAGGAGTTGCACGCTGACCCCCGACAGTAGGAATGGGCGGTTTGCCAAACTGAGCAGCTCTTGACCTTTGAGACTTCGCATCTGGCGTAGGTGGACAGCTTTTCAAGTTTGGCTGTTGGACTTGATTGAGACACCCCACTGCGGGATACTTCCACACATCCACCATCTCCTTCACCGCTTCGATCAATAATGCGGCTCGTAGGGCCTTTGTCTCTCCTGTTGCCCTTTAAATCACATCACATGATCCGGTCAGATGTAGAGGTTCACCCCTATGCAGTTAGTAGTTTAAGGACCCTTTTAGGAACTGTGGAGTACTAACACAATTGCTTTTTGGCTATTCATGGTCCTTTATGAACTCTTTAAAAACCTAATTTAGAAGAGGATTGTAGGCTTTGCCACTGCAAAGGTTGCAACTACTGAAATAAAAAGTGGTTTATTAGTAGCATGCTTTATTTTTGCGTAAAAGCAGGCAGTACGAGTAGGACTCGAGCAAATGAACTAAGTGTGAGGGGTGGAGCTTTATACAATATGCGGACAGTAGTCCGGCTGCACAATTCTTTTATCCAGCAGACGACATACACATCGTTCGTCCTCCTCAGCGTTGTGGAAGATAACACTGCCCAGTTCGGAGCCTCGTGCGAAGACCATGGGGGAGTTAATGGTGAAGATGCTCTCGACGATCCTCTTTACCAACTGGAGTTGATACTGTCTCGCCTCGGGATCTATCAAATCAAGTGCAATATGGCGGATATGGACGTCGTGAATCCAGGAAAATGGTACTTCAAAAAGAGCCCTGCCTACGCGCTCGCCAATAGAACCCAACATGGGTTTGAAAATTTCGGGAAACTTTAGAATTGTATGTAGACTATAAAGTGGACCGCGGGGAATGGGAGGCTCGAAGCCCATCCCCTCTATGTACTCTCGGAAGGCCTGCAGAAGGATAAGAAAAATGAAGCGCACAATATCACGATTCTCTTGGCGCACAATGTGGTAGAGATCAAAGTAGATCATGGCGTAGAGATTGTTGATAACGCTAAGAAATACTTCGGTTCTTTCTGGATGGAGAAGATCCTCCATCGCCATTGTTCTGCCATCATCGCAATCCTCAACCACGTCAGAGGCAACTCGGCGCGTTTCCAGAAAGGGTGTGTTGGTGCAATACAAGTTAGTTTGTTCAGCTTGTCGGGCGAGTAGGTGAGAGATGGGAAAGAGCTTGGGTTCAATTAAATTGAGAATGCGTGTGAAAACGTGAAAGGCGTAAAGTGAGTCAGTTTCTTTAAAGAGGAAGTTACTTTCGGAGTAAAGCCGACAGGTCTGAACGAGCCAGCCCATAATTTTATTATCAAGATATACATACTTCTGCTCATCTACAAGCTCCTCCATTCGGCCAAAGAATGGCGTTGTGCTTCGAGATCTCATCTCACAGCGTACAGCCTCAAGCATACCGAAGAGGGGTCCTGCTATGCACAAAGGAATGTCTACACCTGACTCAGCGTCTGGAGTGAGGGTGTCAAAATCCACCCTTATCATTGGCAATCCAAGTAAAGCATCACCGTCGAGCGAAGTGACCTCTGGCTGCCTGTTTCTTAAACGAAACGATTCTAGATCCACTTCCGGATCCTCCTCTGGCGGACACGGTTGTTCGATTACCTCCTCCTGCTGCTGCTGTTGCAGTAATTCTGTCAGCTCCTCATCGTCATCATCTCCATCACCTTCGAAACCAGCAATGTCAGCATTATCAGCCTGGTCTTCTCCTTCTGTTGCTGCAAATGCGGGATTTTGGCGATCGTCCGCCTCCGCGTTCTGACCCGCGTTCAAGTCGTTGCACTCCATCCTCACGTGACGCTGTGAGGTCGATATCAGACAGTCTCGGACGTAGAATCACGCCTTTTGAAATCGGTCACAAAAAACTTTACTTGTTGTTGATGAGTGAACCGCAGAGTTAGGCGTTTGTACGTGCTTATAAAAGTATCACTAACAGAAGGCGCCAAAAGTACCAATCAATTTGATTAACCTTAATCAAATTACTTCCCTACATAAATTACTCTGTTTCATAAACCAAGAGACATTTAACTACAAAGTGGTGAAAAACGGAATGCAAAAATCGTCCTCTGTTTACCGAAACAAAAGCAATCAAATTATTAACAAGCCAAACAGAATTGAAGAACTTTCCAAAATCAAAAAATAGTTTTAAGTCACTTAAGAATTGTGTG